GAGTGTGTTTGACCTCTGCTGGGGGAACGTACAGCGACACAGGACAGCAGACGTGTGGAGTCGCAGGATGTAGTTTGGCCAAAGAGGCAGCGCTGCAGCAGCTCCAGACAGTTCGTTTAGGAATCAGTTAATAACTGGCACTTTTTGTGATTCTTAACAAAAACAAGTGATACTTGTTATATATTATTTATTTAAGAGTGTGGTCCTTCAGCTTGTGAGCACGACTTGAGATTTTGTCATGCTCTCACTCGAAAACCCTGTGCTTGCACTGAAATGTACCCTGTTGTGCTTAGATTTCCTGCGCTCCAGCTTCAGCTCTTCTCCTCGTTCTGAAAAGTCTCAAAATTTCCATTGAGAAACAGAAACAGAAACCTGTCAACAAACCTTTCACAGCAGTAACCAAACTTATGCTCTTGTCCAGGAACGCTGGGATTCATGAACTTCATGCTGGTTTTATCTAAATCTGACAACAGCAAAAGTATGATTCGAAAATTCCTCCAGCACTTTGTTTCTTCTTCCTTTTGCTCCAGTGAAATATTTGTGTCACAGGTTGGGAGGAAATTGCTCTGACTTCCACAGGGAGGAGGTGAGGGAACAGCAGCTTCTTAAAAACCCAGACACATCACATGTCCTGTTCAAGGTGAGAAGGACACGCACGTGGCTCAAAGATATGCTGCCCCCTGCAGGCTGAGGTGTGACACTCACCCAGCACTGCACAGCACCACGACGCATGAGCTCTGAGTGGACTTCTTCCTGGTTCTCTGTGGCAGTAGATTGAATCTGAATAAAATATGACATCCGAGCTCTCACTCGTGGGCTTTCAGCTCGTGCACTGCGATGTGAACATACCAGAATACATGAAAAATGCAGTGCCGCATGAGAGCAACTGTGCAGAGACAGAAATGGAAGTGCATTTTTGTTAAGCGTGATGGAAAAATATCCTCTTTTCTATTAATATACTTCAGGAGAAGCTGACGTTTAATATCGACGATGGTCTCTCAGACTGACATTTGTGACACCAACACAAATCACAAACACATTAGATAACTCCCTCGCTGTTTGAGCCACCGCAAGTGTGCTTGGCCTCTTCCTAGCACTGCCACGGCGAGCTAGCAGCGAATTGCAGATGTAGTACGTGGGAGTGGAGAGACACAGTAATACCCACGGGCCAAATGGAGGGCAGCTGCTGCGGAGGAGTGAGTAATTCCTGGTGTTACTGTGGCAACCGGCCAAATATGGCACCGTCCCCATGAGGTACCGTATCGATGGATGAATGGATGGACAGATAGAAAGATGGATTATGCCTCTGTGTGGTAACTGTACTGTGCAAAATCGAGTCTCCAGCTGTTGTCCTGCAATGAGCTGCAGTCGAGTGTTTATCCGTCAAAGTAATTACCACGGTCACAGCAGATGGGCCTCGGACTTCACCCAAGATTTCCAGTTCAGTGAGAAACACCAGGAGGCTTCAAGTCCTCCCCCGACCCCGTGAGTGTAGTAAACCTAAAACCCCTCAAACTTCAATATTGTGAATTTTTACCTTCACCAAGGAGGTTATGTTTTCAGCCTCTGAACGGAGCAACACAAAAAGGCTGCGAGAGCATTTATATCCATGAACCAGCAGCAATATTCAACAGTTTTCCATTTCAGGTCTGTTAAACTCTGACTCTGACGGTGAACCCCATCCAATGTCAAACTCGATGAATCAATATCCCAGCTGCTGGTGGTCCTTGGATCTGCCGCCCAGGTCAAACGGATTAGAAACCATTTTATTCTAGCCCCCTTAGCGCTGCAGCTACAGCAGCTTACGCTAATCGATGCAGGCGCTTCTCACCCGGTGAAGAGGCTCGGCGAGCTTTTACGTAACAGGCCTCCTCTTCTGTTTCTGCACCGCTGCACAGCTGACACTGCCAGGGTCCCTGCTGCATACCGCATGACATAACCACCGTCCACAACTACACACTGTCCTCCCTTCATCCCTGGATTTCTCTGTTTCCCCCCCCGGCCGCCTCCCTCCCAGTTCAAAGAGATTCTGCTCTGAGACTATTTTTACATGGAGAAAGTGACATGCACTCTGTTTATTAATAGGAATTCAGTCTTCATCCTCAGGCTCTGCACCACCTCCTGAACATCTTGCACTTCTCTGCCTCCAATGCTTCTCATGAGTCGTCCTTCTCTCAGTCGGACTCCCCTCTGGATGTTATGTTCCTCGTGACATAACCACACAGACAATACACAGCCCTTTATCTCTACATGTTTATCCCTCATGATGCTCTGGCTCTCACTCGGGTCCAAAAAGAAATGTTGTGATAAGTTGACGTGTAACAGCTGGAAACAGCCAGAGAGCATAAATAAAGGCTTGTTGATTATGATCCAGAGACTTTATATGACTGTGTCCCTGTTTTGACTCTGGTTTAAAGTCAGCGTGTTCCTGTCTTTGTTAAAATCATTAAAAACCTTTCGTCCATCACATCAAATGATTTACAGAATCTGCAAAAGACCTTTAGGCCTTAATAAAAAGAACTAAAGCTACCGTGGCAACAGTGAGCAAATGTTAGCTACCATCCTCATTTATTGATAGGATTCGTTTTAATGAATTTGAGATCATTTACTGATTATAAGTTCTGGAAGACAGAAAATAATTCAAGCCACAAATAACTTTAGTTATTTGTAGCAGCTTTAATTGGTTTTTGTTCAGGTCCTCTTCCATATTCTTGGGTTTTCTTGTGTATTTGGATCTGGGGGCCTACAATTTTAATAAACTACATTTCCCATGTGTACTTGCTCAGCCCATAGCACAGGTGTGTTGTATTACACCTCATTGCAAGGTGATGGATTTCTGAGGAGTCAAACATTTTCCTGCAGAAAGACTGAAGGAGTTTCTTCTCTGGACATGTTTCTGTTGGGAATCCTGAGTGAGTAAATCTCTAATGAGCTAATGTTACTCATGCAAAAACAATCCTCTTACTTCAGCCTGTTTAAAGATAAGGTTACCACAGCTTTACATTTAAAGGTCCACACCACTGGGTCACTTCACTCTCCTTAAACTGTCGAAACATTACATCCATTCAAACCCTTTAACTTCATTTCCACCTGTAAAAATGAACTCACTTGCAGTGTCATGTGTTAACGGAGTAAAAGAGCAGCCTGCTTGTGTTAATTGCCGCCTCTGCTGTAAATGTGACTTTATGCACTCGAACCACAACTCGACATCACACCACGCACTCTGAACAGTTTCCTGTGAGAACCTCCTCAAGAGCTTGTCCTGTTGGTGTTTTACAGCTGCCGGTTGTAGATCTTGACCTTTGCATCGTGTGCAGCCTCGAATTGGACAATTCATCATAAAAGAATCTCATTAAAGCCCCGGCGGCTGTTGGTGTTGACGGTGCTGTGGTCGATGCCGTGTTTTATAACCTCCGTGTTGCATCACACGGCCTCACACATCTATAACATGCCACTGCCATCTGCGGGGGGGGGGGTGGGCCTTTGCCCTGAGCAGCCCTATGCCTGCACCATACTTCTGACTGAGGATGCGGTGCCCTCTGGTGGCAGTAAAACATTTCAGATCCATAAGAGAAATGTTCTTTTGTCTTTCACCAGCTCCACTGGAGCAGGAGCAGAACGGTGCTCAGTGGGTGTGTCCTTCCTTCTCTAAAAAATACTTCCTTCCTGAATGACTCATTGAAAATCTTCCAGCTCCTCAGACTTGGTTTAATATATCAATTAGCAACATGGTTGTGTTTTTATCTTGGTTTTATTACTTTTTTGGGGCATTTTTCATTATATTTGGCGAGAGACAGAAAACAAGGATGGACACAGAGCTAGATGCTCTGGCTGGGAATCAAACCATAGACCATGTCCTTGAACCGTTTTCCCACTGGACACTCCTTGTTTTCCATTTGTTTACTGTTCCTTTTGATTACATGCGGTGATGTCGTAATGAACCTAAATGACAGGAAACTATAAATTTGAATTAGATACAAACAAATATCCATTATTTTGTTGTTTAAACCATCACACGAGTTTCGCCTTTGAGAATATTGGAAAATAAATATGAGGATTAAGGATCTTTATGTTTGTGGACGTTAACAAGTCCATTAGTTCCAGCACTTAAGTATTCAAGTATTCCTAAGAAGATTAAACCCACTGACCCCTCAAGTCGTCTGAAACCAATCTGGCATCTGTCAGAAACTCTCCATAAAGAAAAACACCTTGTTTCGGCCTTTTCAGTTTCACTGAATGAAAAAACTGCTTCTAAACCCACAGAGTGTGTCTGCACCTGAGCCGAGGACTCGCTCTGCTCCCTGAGCTCAGTGCTGAGAACGGAGGGCGGACGTGAGCATCAGCCGAGAGTGACTCCATCTTAGTCGGTCACAGTGTGAAAGGTCATGTGATCCCACACATGGAGCGTCTCTGTGGAGGCGGCCTGGTGGTCACAGGCTGGAAAACATGACCGCTTCAGTTTTCTCATGTTAAACCTCTGAGCTGCCTCCCGCCGTCACCAGACATCATGTGGATGTTTTCAGAAATCTGGACTCCTGAGGGACCTTTATATATTGAAAGCATAACAACTTTCTCATTTAAAACATAAAACATTAAGATGATGATCTGGAACAAGCTCTGTGGTTCTTCCAGGAAAAGTTTGACGACAGTGGCTGAGAAAGAAATGAAATTATCCTTCACTTCCCATTTAGTCCTGAGATGTACTTCATATCTCACATCTTGTGGTTTTGACTTTTCTGTTTATTTGCTGGAGATTATTTAAGTTCTTCAGCTGAATCATCTTATTTAGGACAAGATGGTGAGTGTCCCTCTTTGAAGGTTTTCCGCAAAAGTTTGATAAGTTAGAGACCTCCAACAGGTTCAGTGGTTTTAAAAGTAATCAATCAACAAGAGGGATATTGATCCAATCAGAAAGGACAGGTACCTTCAGGTAATCACTACAAGAACAATTAAAATAATTGATATAAACAAGTTTTCTTTATTAATATCATAGCCTGCATTATTCTTTTGTCACATTTGCATAATACACGCTTAGCAACCAGTCTGACACGCCCCCCTTACAGAGACAGGTGGAGCAAGGTGCCGGCATTTCCTGCTTCATATATGTGCTGCAGGCTGTTGACCAATCACAGCAGAGTGGGCTTTATCAGGAGGCGGGTCTTAAAGAGACAGTAGCTGAAACCGTGTGTTTGAGACAGAGGCTGAAAAGAGGAGCTGCAGCGATGGACAGTCTGAGGACAGTGATGAACATCGGAGCTTGAAAACATAAACAGTAATAACACTAATTAAAATACTATATTCTGTAGAGGGCTGGGTTTGTTATGTTTGTTTTATAGAAGCTTTCCTCTGCACAGCTTCCCAGACTCAGGAATAAAAGAGAAACATGAGCACAGATCACGACGCGCCGTCTTTATTTTGCAGTGAGAATACAAATTTAAAACACAACCATCCATGGAGCATTCACACAAATGTTTTTTTCCTTCTCGGAGTGCTTTTTTTATTTTTATTTTACAAGCGTGTCTCAAAGGAGAGACAGCAGAAGCCTGTCACAATCAATGCAGTTAAAGGCCTTTTAAGAAAACCTATTTTTGGGAAGAAAAGAAAAGGAACACCTCTCCTGTCACAGAGCAAACTCGTCATTCTCAGAGACAAAGGCAACACATGATAACCAACGGTGAGTGAGGAACATAAAAGTGCTCTTAAATAAAATAATTGCTCAATAAGTGAGATCTTTTTTTTGTACAGGATTCTAATCGTTTGTCTTGGTCAGATGTTATTCCTCTTAAGTTTTTCATTGTCCCTGGAGATTTGTTATGATCAGCAACGACTGCTGCCTCAATTCTTGACGAATAATATCGATCTCACCTTATTGACGCGAACTTTGGTTTAAAGAAAGACAGATAAAACATTCCTCAATGACTACATTCAACACAGGGCAGGGAAATCAAATATTTAAAACCTCTGGGTTTGGACGTCACTCAGCGTACGGATCTGTTGTTTGGTTATAAAAGCGTCGTCCCGTAAAAGGCTGGTAGAAGTCACACAGCCGACTTTTACAACCCGCTGGATCTGAATCTTTTAAAACTCTTCACTAATGGACTCCAGCGCCACAGAGTCCGGACGACCCCGAGCTGAGTGTTGAGAGAAACGACAGTAAATAAAGACACCAAAATATTTGAGCTCAGGATAAGAGGTCTGAATAAAATATTTTTCTTTTTGATGCGGCTCAAGACTTCTGTAAGTTGTTATCATACTACGATTAGGGAGGAATATTATATTATATATTGTTTTAGATTTGTTGTTCCTCTGCACCATAGAGCTGCACTGTTAAGACTAAAAAACAATTAAAAACACATTAATGAGCCAAACTGCTGCTTCTTCATCACGCATTTAATTTGACTTTATCTAGCAAACACAATATTCACTACAACAATATCCCGCAGAAAATAGTTCCCAACAAATGAACTATTTCCTCCTGATTGTGTTAAAGTGACTCAGTTGTTGTGCTCAGTTTATTAATTATTATATTTGTGGTTTTTCTGTGACGTCAAAGTTACGAACGTTCAGGTGCGAAGTCAGAACGTTTTGAAACATGAACTAATACATTGTTGGTTTTGGTCTTTTCATGAGATTTCTTAACAAAAACAAATGTGAAGAATATCTTGGAATAACTTGTTTGGATAACGGAAGAGTCGAATCCATTCTCTGTAGATGCGACATTTAGTTTCTCAAATCAAAGTAAATTTTTAGGATTTCAAAGGCAAAGCTTAGGAAGGTTGTTCACGATATTTCTGACCATGTGACTTAATTGAACTGTTAAAGTAACTGACGGATAAACTGATAATAATAAAAAAATGCTATTTGCAGCTCTAGAGTTTACAACACTTATTGATTACAATTCTGAAGTGAAACAGGTTTGTGTAACTTTAGGCTCCAATGGGACTAGAGTCTAAAACCTTTAGTTAGAAAACGAGATGAACCACAGAGAATAAAGTGTTTGTTTGCCACAACTCATGGGGTCGCAACCAATACTGATCTAAAACAAAAAACAGAGGCTTCGACAGGACGAGACAGAAAAAGAACATTTCTCTACACACTGATAAATTATTCAAATGGTTGTTTGAGAGGAAGCAGAGTTCAGAAACGCAGTGAACTGTGAGGACTAAATGTACATATTCTATATATATATATATATGCGTGTGTGTTTTACTGCATACAAAAAGGAGCATGTGAACTTAAGGTGTGTTCGGGTTGGTTTGGTTAGAGAGAGCATAAGGTTCGCTGTGAGATAGCATCTGTTGCAACAACAGCCGGGGCGACTGACACTGTTTAATCTAATTTCCCCCGTATGAGTCAGCGCTGCGACCAGGAGCCTGAGCTGCAGGCTTTGTGCCAGAAAAACATTTCCAAAAGCAGCTTTAATGAGATAAAAAGAGTCTGTGGGAGTTCACTGAACGTGTTTTTCCAAAAAGCAGTGAAGTACAGAGGGTTTTAGGCGGCAGGGCAACAATAGATCTAAATGATTTGCTTCAGCTTTGTGGTTTCAGTCACATTTGAGCAACTTGTTTGGTAAAAACTATGAAGACATTTGACCTGTTAGTGTTCGTTCACACTGCGAGCAAACGTTCCCACAGAAACAGGAGGACACTCCGCTGATGAGCGGTCTCGCCAGCCAAGAAATGTTGGCCTCAGTTTGGCTTTTCTGTTCGTTGGCGGTCGACCACAGATCAGATGAGATCCACAGGTTTCCTCTGTCCCTGCTGACGTGGCAAAGTGAGACAGGAGTCAAACTAATCTTCTGCTTGTCGAACAAAATCTCTTCAAAGTCGATTAAGTTGCTTTTGTGGACATTTCTACTAAATCTCTTGGTCTTAATCGGGAGATAAAATCGTAGAATAGTAGATGTTACAATCTCATCTATGTCGGCCGGGAAAAAAAAATCACAAAATTATTGCTTAGAATCGAGAATTTCTCGTTCTTCTGGATTCATTCAGTTTTTTGTAAATCTGGTTTCCTGTTGCTCCTGTTAAGATGATTCAGAATTTTGGGGGCGTTTTAGATTCAGCAGATGTGTCGGTTGATTTGATTGTTGCCTGTTTGTTCTCTGGGAGGCTGTCTGCAGTGTGAAAGCACAAAGTGACTCATGTTGTTACCTGCTACGAGAAGCGTCGTCAGACTGACCACACCACCACCACCACCACCACCACCACCATTATTATCTGGGGACTAAACACTGATTTGAAAAAAGCCTTAATTCTGACAAGTAGTGCAAATTTCTGGTGGCGATAACTGCCAAGGTGCTCTCCACAAACACATTCAGGGCTCTGGGTCTCCTCATCCTTGTGCGTTGATGCCAAAGAACGAGCATCTGCACGACAAGGCTGCTGTTACACGAACCCAGTTCAAAGGGAAGGGTGAAAATAAAGGCACAGAGATTTGGACTTCTCTCCCAGTCCTTTCCCTCCCTCCTCCTCCTCCTCCTCCTCCTCCTCCTCCTCCGCAGCTCCATCGAATTTCTAGAAGACTCCGTCGACTGCGATCACCGTCAGTCCTCTCCACCGCACAGGACCCTGCGAGCTTCAGCCTTGATGTGTCAATCCAGTGGATATCACAGCCTCCTCTTCCTCTCCGCAGGGACCTCTCCCAGTCCTCAGTCAGTAGACAGCAGTGGGTAGAAACAAAAAAGAACCTAAAGCAGCAGCAGCAGCACATTTTCACCTCCTCTCCCGTCTCTCTGATCCATTTATAGAACAACGCTATCACACAAAGTCACAACAAACATTTGAGAACATACCACAGACTAACAGCAACACAAGCAGCGGATGGAAAGGTATTCTTATCTTTTCAGACCTCCTGCTCATAGCTGGCAGACGGCTTCCGCACAAGATTACTATATGGATTTTAGATTTTATCGCTGCTACTGTAACAGAAAAAGTCTCCGTTGTATTTGTCATTTGAGCGTTTCTTCACGTCGGCTGTTGTTGGCCGGGTTCTGTCACAGTTGTGCGTATTAAACAAACCAGCGAGGGGGATAAATAGGTCACGCAGGGGCGGAGAATGACCTCACATCAATAATCCCACTGTTCTCTCGCTCTCTGGTTCACATCTCTGTTTCAACCTGCCCACATTTGATTTCAACACAAACTGCAGCAAAATAAACCAGAAAATATATTTCTTTAAACCTTCTGATATGTCAGCATCTTAAAATCGGCACAGCACCAACAGATAGTACAACCCTGTTCTCACGGTGGCAGTGAACTAGTCTCTCTAATTGGGTCGCTGAATTCCAAACAAGCCTTAGCTGTTTCCATTAGCAACTGACATTCACATTAATCTGGCCAGACGGGGGAAGACGCTGCGAGGGTTTCCATCACCCTCGAGAAAAGTATCAATATGAAGTCCAGTCCGGGGGACGTGAGCTCTGGAACAGGCGTTGTTTAGTGCTTTGGCAGCAGGTTCAACAAACACACACGTCAAATACACAACGACGAAAACTCTCACACACACACACACACACGAGAGATGTTGAAGAGAAAACTTTCCAAAAGCACAGAAAAATGTTGGTGTTTCACAAAAGGAGTTCTGTGATGTTGCCTTCTCAGCAGGGTTCAGCCAACACTATCACAAAGAGACGAAAAGAAAAGCGCTGCTGCTGTGCATTCTGGGGGTTTGAGTCTATATTTACAGGAATGATAACGTTAAAGTTTTCTTTATTTACACACATTATCAGCTCCTTTCGTTCCTGCAGCGACGTCCCATCACGCACTATGATCCGTGTTTCTTATTCAATCAATACTCCCACTCGTCTGTCTTCATGTCCAGATAGTTGAGAATGTTCTGGGCAAACTTCACCGCCTGCTTCCGCGCCACCTTGGTTGTCTCGTCGCCCTGCGGGTCCACGGCATCCAGCGACAGCAGCTGCTTGGTCAGCAGCTCCTCCAGGATCATGTAGCTCTTGTCGACCCTCTTGCCGTCGAAGCCCAGCACCTGGGCCTGGAGGTCCGAGAGGCTGCCCAGGACCAGCCACACGGCGCGGTGTGACGGGTGCTCGGTGGGGCCTGGCTGGCGGCGGGCCAGGGCCTCACGCAGGTCAAGGAAGGTGACGATAGCTTGGACCTCTACCACAGCGCGGCGCCGGGCCTCTCGGATACATGGGTTCTTGGCCGTGTCCACCTGGTCCAGGTGCGTGAGGAGGCTCTGCAGCTCGGCTTTGGGTCTGAAGCTGAGATCTCCCATCGCGCAGTGTCGCAGGATTCCCTCTCGCAAGTGGGAGACGTGAGCTCGCACGGCCTCGATCTCACGTATGGAGTTGTTGTGAGCCAACTCGTATCTAAATAAGACAAACAGACGAGATGTAAGACTTCAATAGAGCAACAAGTGCGAGTGACATTTATTCATGAGACACTTTTAGCTAGCGAGTCACATTTTAAACCAATATTAGAGCCCAAAACATTTATCGCTGAGTTTTATGAGCCGTGTTTCACAGAATAAAAAATGCAAGGTGATTTATCAAACTTGAATTTTTTTGTAACAACATCAATAGATAGAAAATAATTTGCAGATAAACCAATAATGAAAATAATCTTAAACTGCAGCTGTGATCTGCTCTACTTCATCCTTTATTCCTACCTGCGCGTGTCGTCTCCTTCCCCCTCCAGGTCCAGATGTTTCAGGAGCCCGTTTATCTCCTCCACAACCTGTTTCCTGTAATTTCTGATTGCTGCGTTCCCGGAAACATCCAGAGCGTCCAGCTCCACCTGCATCTCCGTCAGGATGCGTGACAGATGGGCGCAGCTGTCCCTCCCACTCAGGCCCATCAGCAGGGCCACCAGCTGACTGCGGGCCACGCTCACCTTCACCATCACTTGGTTGATGCGGTGCACTGCCTCATGGGTCTCTCCCGACAGCGGCAGCGAGAGTGTCTGCTGCTGCGTGCGCCCTTCGATCACGTCCTGTACGGCACACAGACGTGTCAGCGCCCGGTAACGTGCCTTGCGGAGCGGCACTCTCCCCTCGGTCTTGACCTGGGTGAGCCTCAGCACGAGCTGCTGCAGGGCGTCCACCAGTTCATCGTTTATTTCAGCCACGCCTCCGCCGCGCTGAGGTGCCACCACGCGGTCGTCCACCAGCTGGCGCGCCTCGTTGCTCAGCTCCTCGATGGCTATACGGGACGGATGCGTGGCGTTCTCCTCCAGGTACCTCAGGAGGCCCTCCACCTCCTGCGCCGCTCTCTTTCGCGCCCCCTGCAGCTCCGGTTTGCCCTCTGTGTCGACCTGGTCCACCTCCAGCAGCAGCCGGGTCAGTTCCCGCTCCAGACGCTTGTAGTCTCTGTCGTTCTGCAGGCCGCTGAAGGTACAGACCTGAGGGCCCAGAGACGCCACCTCCTTCTGGACCTCGTACAGCCGCATCATGGCAGGGTGCTGCGCATTATATGACTGCTGCTGCTGCTCCATTGGATGTTGCTGCTGCTGTGGGCCGCCATGGTCCATTCTTTTCCCGCCATCAAAGGGCTTTCCAAACAAGCTGGAAAAAAGGCGACACGGCAGGAAGTTAGGACAATGAGCAACAGATCACTGCCTCAGTGGAGATAACATGCATCAGTGCCAGGGCAGCTCACAGAGACAATGTCAGCAGCTTCAGCCAAACGTTTAAAGTCTCCACCAAGTCCAGAGGAGTGTCCTGAACAAACCCCCTCTTGATTTATCACGTTACTTAAAGCAACATGATGCAACTCTAAGTGATCAACAGCGCCCTCTGCAGCCACATGTAGTGATTACGTCTATCAAAGTGTCATCTCGCTGAACTGACACACAACTGAACACTGGATATTACCCATGATCCTCTGCATTCTTCATGTTTCAAAGTTTCCTGAGAACTCAGGGAGTGAAGGATGAAACTTTCTCCACGTTCACAGTCACTGAACCTTCGAACTCACTTTAATCAAGCGGCTGGTTTAAGATAGAGAGGCTGCATATCGTTGTTTTATATAAGGTGGCATTTCTGTGTTGCCATGAGGTGGAAACATCAGGAGCCTGAAAGTCCAGACAGATATTTGATATATTTTTTTATCTTGTGTGCACAAGATAATAACTTGTTCACATAAGATAATGACCTTGTGGGAACAAGTCCTGCTGATGACAATCTCCATGCAAGAGCAGCTAGAGTTTCATTACGTGACACTCCGAGGTACAATGATGTATCTGAAGTCATTAGCGATGCATATGAATATTTTTAGTAAATGATCTTGTATCTTGGAACATTTAATCGTCTTTTGTGAACGAGTTCATATCTTGTGTGCCCGGGATTTAAAAATAAAGTCACCTGTCAGGACTTCAGAGGCTCTGTGGAAACGTGACGCTGACAGGAAATGAAATGAAAATGATTCTCCGCGTCTCTTCAATGGGAAAATCAACCTTTCGACCACAGTGGTTAAATAACATTAAAATTCATGTACACGACCTCCAGCCAAGGATAAAGTGTTGAATCTCCAATTTGTAGGAAATTCTGTCACACTCAACACGTCACAAATCCAGCCTCGGGACCAAAGAACCATTAAACATGAAAATAATCCATTTTATGTGTGAGCGATCCTGACGCTCCACTGCTGTGCTTGTCTCCAGGAATACTACCACACGTGCTGAGGAGAGAAAAAAGGTTTTATCCGTCTGGAAACTGATCCTGCCGCGTCTGATTTATTGCTTCTAATTCCTCGAAGCCTTTCTGTCAAACTGTTTCTGATTAGAGTCTGAACGATGCTGGATTCTTTAACGCTGCAGCAGCCAATATTCATCTTTTTCAAAAAACATTAGAAGGTGCTATTGGGTTGGGTTTTAAAGAACCGTGACCGAGGCATGTTCTGAGTATGGGGTGCTTTACAATTTAAAATCGAATACGTCAGTGCTGCCTGGAGGTGGCGGCTTTTCTAAACTATCCTCTTATAATATTTCTGTACATCGAGCCTGAACAATTCATCAGCTGATAACATGGGCTGGTGTGAGCCTTTCACAGATAAGCGGAATTCCTTTCTCCCTCACATCGATATCAGAGGTTATTACCTAATGCAACCAAACATAACAGCCATAAATTCAATGTACAGACTGTTCAGTTTAATTACTGATTAATGACATATCTAGGTTGTCACAGAACAACAACAAGTGTTGATGGAATTTATTCTTGTTTGTAGTTTCATTACTAACTTGTCTCATAATTTAAGAGTCACTGCGTGGAGACAAAAAAGTTGATGAGATGGGACAGAAGCTGCTGAACTGAGCTTAAAATCACTGAACTGACACTGAAGCCACGAAACAATAATTGCACGCAGACGAACAACAATGCAAGAAAGCATCCATGATTAATATGAATACCTTGCGCTGCCTGATCCGTCTTCTCACAGTTATCACTGACAGCGTGAAGTCAGACACTCTGACCAGGGCAGAACTGTTTATTCAAAAACGATTTATAAACGTGTCGTCGCCCACGACCACGTTATTTTTTCCCTTCTTTGCAAAGATTCAAGTCTTAAACCTCCACCCACCCACCCACAATTCCAACCCTGCCACCGATCTCTTAGACCAAGACTGTATTTAGTGTCAATACGCAGAGTACAATGAGGACAAGATCCCAAACACACTGCAGTTAAACGGCGCCGGAGCTTTTTATGTCCCCTGAATCCAAAGTCTTTCTCTGACCTTGGCCTCTTGTTGAGTCGACTCTTATTTCTAATTAACTTCAGATCAATTGAATAACAATTAACGTCGAGACAAGTCGAATGAGATTCTCTCCTGATGATCATGGAAGACAATGAATGAGGTTAACCTACATTTCCAAACACCCACATGACAACCATTCAGAGAATCGCTGTGTGTTTCCATCGGGCTCGTTGGCTGACACGCTGGTGATAGCTCTCTAATCCGCATAAGAAAAAAAAATCCTGCCTGCCGATCCCAAAAAAATACGAAACAGTCCAGTGCATCTCTGCATGAAGATTCACAGCCGTGTGAAGTGTGTCACAGGTTCCTCGAGCAGTGAGAAGTATTCCCAGTTCAACACGACAGGAAGATGGTGAAATTATTTTTCTCTGAAATCAGCTTCTCTGGGAGGATTTGCAGCTTTTTCTGTTTTTAAATTGAACCCATTTGTCTTTTTGGGCTCTGGAAACATTTTATTTACAAAATCATTCATGGATTAATTGTGAAAACAATCAGCAGATCACTCATGGTCCCGCTGACACACGACGTCGACCAATCGTGAGTCAGTCTCATGTCGATAATGACGTTTTTTTACGTCATTAAAATGCCTCAATGTTTACTTCTCCCTTGAGAAGCCGAGAGTCGTACAGTGACCTTTACTTCTGACCTTTATCCACCAAACTCTTACTCAGTCCATGCGAACACTGAAGCCAAGTTAGAAGACACCGCCTCCGGAGATGTCACGACGTTCACAGACGATGAGACAGACAGACAGACAACCCGAAAACTGAACACCTGAGGCCACGACTGTCGCCAACACGGAGGAATAAAAAGAAACGACTGGATGTGGTTGACAGACACTTGATATGAAGAGACTGATCAGGACCAGATCAATGATCCATACATACTCAAATGAGGATCAGCCTTCAACGTCTGACAATAGATTTGAATCTGGGTTGGACGCAGGGTCAGATTTCTGAAACCTGATTGGCCCCTGAGGTGCTTCTGTCCCGTCACTAACAACCACAACGACACGTATAACAAGTTGTGAAGAATTCTTATTTTCTCAGCTATTGTTTGAAGAAATCAATGTGCTTGAACAAGGAGCAATTTCCAAAATATATTCAGAGATGTGCGGCCTTGCATCAAAGCTATAGAGCCAACAGTGAACACGGAGTGAGTTCACTGTGCACCTTACTGAATCGGGACGTGTGCAACGTTGTTGGTCACATAATTTGTCCCTTTAGGCCCCTGAATTAGAGAAATCATAAATCCACCGCTGCTCTTGAGATAAAGGAAAAAGAGAGAAATGAAAGTGTTAATGAGGGAATTCTTTCCAAACGCCCAGCTGACACCACAGTGAACTTTGTGTCTGCAGACAGAGGCTGAACGGCAACACAGGATATGTAGTTTTTGCAGAAACGTGTCTCGGAGGGAGAGGTTGCATGAAGGCCGAGGCCCCCGGGTGCACGGGGGGATTCATGCACAGGAATTCTGCAGCCCACGATATCGATGATTGGGGTTTTCCACAGCACCGTTAACACTCATTACTGTATTACAACACACTTACTACGGACAGGATCATGTGTCAGCATCTCCTGAAGCTCTTTTATGTAACACGGAGCGAGGGGCTGGGCATTTCCAGCACAGTGGATGAACGCATGCTGGGCCAGAGCTCACAAATCTGAGCATTTATTAGGATAATCCCGGCAAAACCTCTCCCAGCCTGGCGAAGACTGCAGCCAGGAGTCGGTCATGTGGAGCTGAGCCCCCCGGCAGAGGAGGCTCACAGAGCTGGAGACACCCCCCCGGTTTAAACCCCATCTCCCCGGGGGCGCTCGGGCTCCTTCCCGGGCTCCAGGCTGCATGCAACCGGTCCCGCTTTGCGCATTATGTCGGCCCATCGGGCCGGTGGCAGAGAGGGACCGTCCACCTCTGCAGCACCAACCCAGCAAACACCTCCCCAACCTCACAGCGGCGTCTCCGGCCGCTGTCGTCCCCGCACACACGCCCCTGCAGCCCGGTGCTCACCTTTTCAAAACTCCGAACACATTCGCACACATTTTGGCGGATGTCTGTTCCCATCGGCCGGGACCAGCAGGGCTGCCGCTCGCGGAGGGGTGGGGGATAATCCGAGTCTCCGGTGGTGATGCCGCTCCGGTCAGCTTCAGCACCCACCGCCCGACTGCCTGCTGCCCGCCCGCCCGCCTGGATGACTGACTGCGGCGGGGCTGGTGCTGGTGTCGCCCCTCCCACAGCCGCTTCCTCCGCTTTTAAAACACAACTCGCCGAATAAACTGAACCCAGCGTCGAGCCTCACACGCGGACTGAACGCGCAGATCTCCCCCGGTGATGCGGGCTCGGGTCCGGGGGTTCTCGCTCCGCTCCTCCCCGCCCCGTGAAGGGCTATTGTGTGCGCTGAAGCTAGCCGGCCGAGGATCACCTGACTCTGCCCCACCTTCACCAAATCACTTCGGCCTCGCTCCAACCGTGCACACACACACACACACTCCCCCCCCCCCCCCCCCGTGCGAGCACGTTCTCCCTTACCTGCACAACCAACGCACGGCCATCTGAACAGCAGCCGGACACCGCGCAGCTCCTCCGGGGGAAGCTAAACATTAGCTCACCTAGCTACCTTCCAGAGGAGTTACTTTACTCACGGGGTGTCAACTAACACGGAGTTCGCCTTTGCCCGAAGAAACTTTCAAGTGAAGATATTTAAAGACGTTTGTTTGACGCCGCCACTGCGAGACGGTGAATCTGTTTTAGATTAATTTAAAATTAATTGAGAATAATGTGTAATAACACGCGTTTAACCGCGTTATAACGCGACCGATCGACTTAAGTGGATTCAACGGTTAGTTTTTAGTTGGCCAACACTGGGTGCGCTTCATTTCGTCACGCTGCCGCACCGGTTGTCAGCTGTAGTCGAGTACTTGGGTGTTGTAACATTAAACGCAGTTTATTAGATAATACCCAATATTCAAACTAATATGTACAAATATATAGATTGTCTTGTGGTATTCATACAATATTATATATATTAAATATAACATTCAAATGGGTTACATGGAAAAACTGCGTTGTCTTGTAGTAATAAACAAATATTATACTTTATGGAAGAAGTATGCAAGTTAAAACATTGTACTGTTACTGATAGGATCCAACAAACACAGTAAGGATGAATAAAATGCGTTAAAAACAACGACAATGATCCGTCCGCGCTGTTATATCCGGGGCTCGGTGGTGATGTTTTCGAGCGCACCTATGTTTCCTGCCGGATCCACGTGACAGATCGGGTCGTGCACAGAAGGACGTGCACTGTGTGAACTGACCTGAGAACCAGTATTATACATTATATATATATTCTCTATTCTCTCATTATCATCTTTATAAGTTATTTTACGATGTGTTCGGTGACAGTGGGGCGGGGTCTGACCTGCAGGAGCCTCTGTCCCGTGGCTCTGTCAGCGGTGAGCGCTCGGTTCTGCAGCTCCGAGCAGAAAACACAGCAGAGCTCAGCTCCAGAGGTTTGTTCACCACTAAAGATCTGTTCCTGTGTGTGTGTGTGTGTGTGTGTGTGTGTGTGTGTGTGTGTTGGTCAGATCTGCAGCTACATGCATGTTCAAACATGCACGTCTGTCATATGTTGCATGGTTTTTAACCAAGTGTGATTCTTGTGTTTCTGTATTTTTCTCTCTCTGCTCTGTCTTTTATTTATTGACCTCTTCAGGATTTATATAAGTTCTTTTCTCCAATAACAAAACAAAACCAGACGTTCTCAGTCTGTGGAGCTGAAATAACTATTGATTCGTGTTGAAACTGAAGTGATGCATCTGCTTCCTTGGTGTCAGTGTATTGATGCTGTAATTTAAGAGGCTGTATATGTTTTCCTCACGTTATCATCACCTGAGATTTAAAGTAGTTTTTACCTTTTCATCTTCTGGTGTCTGGGTGTGGGAGCGAGTTCGCCTCCTCGCTGCTCATCTCGTCGTTCAGTCTGGTCAGAAGTGATAAGCTTCTGTGGCGCAGCTGCTTTTTAAAGCCACGTCGCCTCCATCTGTGCACAAACTAACACTGTTATCTATTTAAATGAAACTCTTCCCCTCACTGACACAGAGTTTAACACAGTGACTCCCTGCCCTGCAGTCGGAAACCCTTATCTTACACCTGACCTTAATATTGATTGTATTTTAAGGGGAATAAAGAAACAACCATGAGTGTTGTTTTTTAAAATGTGATGATTCCAGTTTCTCTGCTAAAGGTTGAACACAAGATGCTACTAGAAAGCATCACATTGGAGTTTTGAGGAATTAAAATGTTCCCTATTTTCCCAAAAAACTGACTGAGGAATCTTAAATTCAAGCAGAAATATTATTTTAGATCATCTTTAGGTTTTTCACTGACAACACAGAACATCTAAAAAGTTATACATGAGGAAAACAAACTGTGTTTTGTTCCATATGTAGAGATCGACCTTCAGACCACCACCCGGCTCCACGTGCGACTGGATCGGTCCGCCCAACCCTCTGTCAAACCTGCGGCCGATCGTTTACCACGTCCCAGAGAACGAGTCGGAGCTGGAGAAACGTCTGAGGCACCTCAGGCAGGAGACGGAGGACTGGAACCATGACTTCTGGACCCAACAGAACATCTCCTTCAGCAAGGTGAACAGGTTTTCTTTAATTCAGTTCCAAAACAAATCTTTAGTGAATTTAAATGTCCTGTTAGATATCTTTGTTTTCAATAACCCTGTGTCACAGGTGGATACATATATTAAACAGGGACATGAGAGATTAGAAGCTGAAACATTAAAGTTAGTTAAACCTTTGTTTGACATGTTCACAGGTTAAATCCATATTTTTTAACCTGAAGACAATCTAATAAAAAGTTAAATCTTGTTCGATTACAGTCATGACTCCACGATGAGATTTAGAGATACTGACATTTTAGAAATTACGTTTTTTTTCCTTAAAAAAATGTAACATAGGACTTTTAGAGGAAAACCACAGACTGTGAATAAAGATGGACGACATGACGGCTCCCAAAAGTGAAGTTCTTATTTTCAGCAGCAGGGAGCAGCATCACACAACAGGACTGAAATGCATCCAGTCACATTTGTTAGAATCACGATCAGGATTAATATTTACAGCAAAAGATTCAGTTTCTTATCTAAATGATTAATGTTCAAAGGGAGTTTGATCGAGTTTAACACAAGATATTTTGAAGACAGTTTGGAATCCACTGTCTGAACACCAACATACCTAGAATGTCTGTAATTCTCAGCAGAAGACATAACAATCCCACACACGATCGTTCAGTAGATCAGTGTTTGCTGCTTTTCTGTTTGTGTGCGTTCGTGGTAAAATCTGTTGAAACGTTTTACGATCCCATTTTTTTTTTTTATGCTCTCTGCAGGAAAAAGATTCTTTCATCGTGTCACAACTGAAGGCGAAAGACTTGACTGTGCGTGATGAGCAAGGTGAGGACACACAGACTGTTGTGAAAACCAAACACAACCGAGTCAGTTACGACTTCAAACGCACAGCAAACAGAATGATTTCATAATGAGAGTCAAATATTGTCTCTCTCTCTCTCTCTCTCTCTCTCTCTCTCTCTCTCTCTCTCACACCCTCTCTCACCCAGGGCGCCGGCGGTCCCTCAACACCGAAGAGATGGCGGAGTTTTACAAAAGCTTCCTGGACAAAAACAGAACGCGACACATGAGTTACAACAAGTGAGTCCTTTGGGGCCGAGTTTCTCATCGAGTTTTAACTGACGTCGTCATAAAATGTCCCCCCGACACACACTCACCACCTGTGCACCTGATTTTAGTTTCCCCATGTGTGGGTTTTTACTTTTGTTTGCACAACTGTGTTATTGTGTCAGGTTGGACTCTCGGTCTTGTCCTTCACCAGAGGGGATAGTTTTCTTGTCTGTTCCAAATCTTTCAAAACAACAAACCTTTATTATATAATAATCCATCTGCACTATCGTTCGTATCAAAGGTTACCGGCGTCTAAACCATTTATTTACTTCAGAGTCTGTCCAGTAGAACGTCTCTGCCGACAGCCGCCACACGGTGATGGTATGAAAAGGCACAAGTTGTTATTCAGGGTCTTCCCTAAGAGTTTGGCAAAGTTACACATGTCCCGCCCAAATATTAAGTTACAAATAATAAAGGAAACTGAAAACCTTGTTCTTTTAAGAGGCAGAAATCTGCAAATATTCTGTAACTTCACTACTTTTGTTTGAAAATGGATGGAATCATGTGATAATGTACGACTTTCCTGTAATTCTCTTTCTCCTCCTCTGTTTCTTTTCCAGGGAATGGTACAGACGAAACTTCACCATCACTTTGCTCATGGCCCGAGTCGCCCTGAACAACATGTGGAGGACTGTTCGACACGGCAGGAAGAAAACCAGCTCTCCTGCTTCCTGATAATAAACTGTCTCCTCACACTCTGATCACGTCTTTGTTTCAGTGTAATTTAATTGCCAAGAATTAAAAAAAAAACTATCAGATCTAATTGGAGATTTGGGTCTTTTTTCCTGTTATTTTTGAATGGGTGGTTGATTCGATCAGATTCCCCTCAGGTCCATCAATATTTCCGCTGATCATTAGAGAGAAAATGATGCACTTTAGCTGTTAAATTGATTTTTGGAGTCTTTCTTGTGATCACTCTGGAAAGTAGTCAGAATTTAGGAGGAGCTTCCCCTCAAGCAGTGTGTTTAACAGAAACCCAATTACATAAACGCTCCTACAGTATCAGGTCTGTTCACACCTACGTGCACTATTTTATAAAACTCAGGCCCAGAGCATGTCTGCATTCATAAGGTTAAATTATTTAAAACACGTGTTTCATAAAAAGCTAAAACTTGAATTTGTGTTAGTAAAAGCTATGTTGGATTTCCTTTATGAGAATCTGGGCTTTAAGTGGGAAATACAAAGAGCCATGTAAAGTACTTATTGTTTCTACAGTTCAATCTTGTAGAAGGATTTCTGAAAATCTAAATACATTCATAAATATTTAACAGTTAAATAGATTTATAACTGAACAAATAAAATACTTATACATGGATTTATTGGCAAATAAATAAATGTATAAACAGATGAATAAATGAACATATTCATTAACAAATACATTGATATATATTAATAGATATATTTATAAACAAACAATTCATAAACAAATGATTTGATCTATAACGAATCATGACTACATTTAGAACAAATCGAACTACATAAATAAATAAATGTATAAACAAATGGATTTAATACTAAACAAAACTGAATAAAATGTATGAAGTATAAATAAATAAATATTCTATATAAATACTTGTATAGAGTATAAGTATATAAATACATGTATAGAGTATAAGTATATATATATAAAATATAAAAGTATACATAAATATCTAAAGTATAAGTATTAAGTATAAATATATATATAACTTTAACAGTTTAAATATATATATATATAAATTTAACAGTTTAAATATATATATAATATTACAGTATAAATATATATAAATATAATCTATATAATATAACAGTTTAAATATATATAATATTACAGTATAAATATAAATATAAATATAAATAATATAAGAGTATAAATATAAATCTAAATAATATAAGAGTATAAATATAAATCTATATAATATAAGAGTATAAATACATATATATATATATATATATATAAGAATATAAATATAAATCTAAATAATATAAGAGTATATATAAATATAAATATAAATATAAATAATATAAGAGTATAAATATATATATATATAAATATAAATATAAATCTATATAAGAGTATATATATATATATATAAATATAAATATAAATAATATAAGAGTATATATAAATATAAATATAAATATAAATAATATAAGAGTAAAGAAGTGGCTGCTCGTGTCGCACCGCAGCTTCCCCTTTAATGCGGACAGGGGTGACATCATTACCCGGGAGGGGAGGGGGGGACACCGGCTAACGCCATTTTCACGCAGCGCAGTCAGTCATCCAACCACCGACCACCGAGCTGTCATCTCCACCGGCGACTCCTCAGCGGTTCACCCGGCCCCCATGGAGCCGCTGTCGGGTTAGGTTTGACGGAGCCGTCGCTGCCATGGAGCCGCGGGGCGAGAGGCTGCAGCTGCCGAGGCCACAGTTAGCTGCCCGTGTAGCTCCGTAGCTAACTGCTCATCACCGCCGATGCGGAGAGGCGTCCACTGAACTCGGCGCGGACAGTTCGTAGATTCCGCTTCGGAGCTCCGGGCTCAGATTTCACACCTCTTCCCGTCAGACGTCGGTAGAAGGAGCGGCACCCCCATCGCAGAACAGACGTGATTCACCCCCGGGGAAGAGGCGTTTCAGTCCGGCTACACTGGCAACGGATGTCCTGGAGAACGGTAAGAATGGCTCCGTGTATTTCTTGGAGTGGTCTCATTGGCTAATTAACCACTTTCGTTCCCGGTCAAGTGTCATTCTATCAAACTGCAAACTGTGTTTGACCGGTTCAACCCCCGAGGCTCCCGTGTTGTAAAGAATATTAATAATCATAATAATCATATTAATAATATTAACAATATTAACAAACCCCTCCCGGCCGCTCCATTCCTCCCGTGTGGTCAGTGTTTACGTTCGCTGCAGGAATTAGACGCTGCTGTCAGTGGAGGGCTAGCTAGAGTTAGCACTAGCTAGGTGTGTGTGTGACAGCCCTGTACGGGCCAACTGGTTCTTCAGGTTGATCCGTGAGTGCAGCGAGATGCTCTGCCCAGGGATGCGTCTCCACCACGGCTGTCAAAGGTGCAGCGCAGCCCCGGTGGTGTCGGACCTGTCATGTGATGGTCGCTGCTCCATGTTGGGGGTTTTTCATTGATATTCACAGCGGCCCGAGGCCAGTGAAAGCTGCCTGTGTTGAGGGGACAGCTTCAGGGGGACAGTGGAGCTCAGTGTGGGTCCCACAGCTGGGGTTAAAAAAAAAAAAAAAAAAAAAGACTGGATATTATCGACGCTGCAGGACGAGCAGCCAAATCTCAGCAACACTGTTTTGTTGTGTTTGCAGTTCCCTGCAGTATTTAATGTGAGATCTCTGCTCTTGACAACCTGCAGGGCCCCTGACAACCCTCTGCTCCCCCCGGGACAGCTTGTTGTTTCCCCGGATGTCCCACAGGGGTTTGAGTCCTTACCTCTGCTGGGAAATTGTGATTTGCCTGTTGCCAGAGATGATTTTGCAGATTTGCTTGAGAAGCACCAAACCTGAGGAAGCCGACGATTATTTCTGCTGTTGATTAAGCTCCCATGGACTTTTTGATTAAATGTTTCTTTTGTTAAATATACTTACTTACATAAGATAAAGGGAAGCTGGAAATCAATTATGAGAAGTGAAAGCACGTACATGAAATCTTGATTACTCATCTCTGTGATTTCCTAATGCTGCAGATCGGCTCAGAAGAAAAGTGAAAACAAGTTCCCAGAGTCCGAGATGACGCCTCTGAAGGTTTAGTTTTTTCTGCCCAACCTCAAGAAACCTCAAGTTTCTCAGTTTACAATTGCACAAGACACAGATAAGAAAGAACTGCTCGTTCGGCAGGAAACATGATATTGTTGTAATAGAGAATTAGTATTTTAACCATTGCTCATCCTGCTCTAGTGCTGTGTTGCTGAGATTCAAACAAACGTATGTTTGCTGTTACGCTTCAGTTTGTGAAAGTCGATTGGCTTCTCTGAATTAACGCTTGAGTTGGTTAGTAAGGGCAGGCTCCTAAAACACATGAACGTGCACCGACTGACAACTGCTAGAAGACGACCTCTCACTGACTCGCTCGCTAACTTGTGGCTTTCGTCTCTGCTTCGGTGGCGCGTGTCTCTCCAGCTGAAGACTCAGATCATCCTCGGTGAGAGCGAGGTGCAGGCAGGTTGGTCGGTGACAGACAGGCACACCAGCCAATTAATTTGGTCTGAGTGAAATGATCGGTTGCATTTGTTACAGTCCTGCGACACCACAGACACCAGCTTTGTTCAGGGGAATTTATTTATTAATGTCTGTTGGGATGTGAAGAGGATTTGAACAAATACGATGAAAAAGTGTTTCAGAAATCCTGACCCCAACTATCTCCGTCTTACGCTGAATACTGTGAAATGACGCTATCTGCTGTGATACATGTCTTGTCAAGAGCAACTGAAATACTGTGAACACTGGCGAGGAAATCAGGGGGAACTCGTGTGTTAAAGGCCAGTGCCTGTGTGGGGAAATAAATCCAGGAGATTGTCTTGCTGTCTTCAGGGGCGTGGGGGGTGTCGCTGCTGCTGTCTCTGTAGATCAGAACGTCTTAAACAACTGCAGTGACTCAAATGATAAATTCACCCAAGGCTCGCTCATGGAAATAAAAAAAAATAAAAAAAATGATTGGTGGTCTTGTCATGTGAGAGCTGAGCAGAAATGAGGCTGCAACTAATTTTAATGAAGACACAGTTTAAGACAGCAGGCTGCAGCAATCCCTACGACGTCACAGTAAATATCCCTGTTTCTGAGTCAGACTTCAGATTTTACACTTTGATTGTTTTGTTCTCTCACCTCCACGTCCAAAGACCACGTCTGTTCAGTTATTAAAACACACCACACTTTGTCATTTCCTCAGTTTCAGGCAGTGACACATCTCGTGACTGCCCTCTGTGTGTTAACCCTCTTCCTGGTCTAATATCTTCACATGATGCATCATTATGTCCTGATAGACGAGTCCATCTGAGGAGTCAGGACAGGATGCAGCATGTGGAAGATAAAATGAGCAGCATAACAGCACAGCAGGCAATACGTGATTGTTTTCAGTATTTCTATATCAACAGTGGATCACATGACTTGTTGTAAATGTGTGAAAGGGGTTTGCTCGGGGTGATAAAACCACAGACTCTGTAGTTCCTCTTTATGTCCTCTTTCAACTCAAGGAGGTTATGTTTTCACCCCTCGGTTTAATTCGAATTATCTGTCCGCAGATCTTAAAAGACGACCTGATATCAGAATAACGTATCTTATAACTCTCATGGTACACAACATAATTTAAATGCTCAAAAACAGTCCATCACTCAATGTCACACCAAGACAAGGTTTAAAGAGTTTCAGTTCATGTATTTTTCTGTGTTTTCCATGCTGCTCTTTTTCCACAGCAACAGTTCGAACTGGGCATCAAAGTCGTGTCTTGTGTTTTTGCTGTGCTCTTCTTTGTTCTTAGCCATGGTAGACATGGAGTTAACTACCTTACCCAGTGCTCGGAGCTGTTCATACCAGACAAACTGAGAAGCAGTGATTTGCATTGACAGGATACCGGTAAAACAACTGTTGGTCATTTGAATCACGATTATCCAAACAAACGCACACGTGTGAGAGCGTGTTGTAGATTCTTTTAGATTAAAAACCATCCAGTGTTTTTAACTCGCGGTGGCTCAATGTGTCCGTCACACATTCACTCTCTTTGAATGTGATTATGGCTCAAAGCTCTCATCATCTAATGACTATCAGCCGACACATCGCTGACTAAGATTGTTCTTCACAGTGCCCTCATCCTGCCGCAGGCTCCATCCTCATGCACAAAGCCCAGAGCAGGCACTGAGTGTTCCTCTTTTTCACTGGTCCCAAGCACAAGCCCCCATCTATATCCACCACCACATTTGTCTTCAGCCTTCTCATCGCCTTGAACTGTATCACTGCCTAAACCTGTTTATGTGAGGAGCTGCAGCGTCCCCTGGGCGCTCAGCTTCAAGCCAGCTATTTACATTTCAAAAAAAAACATCAGAACATAGTTTCTCTGGCTTTTCCCTGTGGTGCTTTGTGCACTGAGACTCGTCTGATGCCAGAAATAAAAGAGTGTAGGATCCGAACAGGAAGAAGTGCTTGTGCTGTCACTTTTACTTCTGTGTTACCCTGCATGCAGAGCTCTGTCTCCTTCTTTGCAGCTGAATATGTTTTCAGTGGTTAAAAATTGACCTTGCTCTACGTTGATGGGGGATAAAGGACTCACTTTGGATTGAATCCCAGCTTCACAGCTCGGCCTTGTCGGGGATCCTTTTTGTTTTGTGTTTTTTTATCAGTTCAGTCATTTGTCATTTTTTTAAAAACTCAAAATACAGAACATGTGTCAGTTCCAGCTTCAGTCCTGCTCACCTGGAGCTGCTGTCTTCCATCCCCTCCTGCACAGCGTCAGCTTCCTGCTCGGCTGTCAGCTGATAGGCTGCGGGCCGGTTGCTGAGTCACATGGAGCAATCAGGACTGCAGCCCTCCCTCTGCCGGCCTCCTGTGCTCAGAGCGATCTTCATTCAGCGTCTTCATTCTTCCAAACTTGAATTGTGAAATCGGAAGCAGTTCACTTCAGGGTACGCCTGCTGTCCTCACCACAGCAGCCCCGACACCGAGGTGGTCACTGTGACATCGGAGACAAAACAAATGTTTGTTTCATTTCTGACGAGCAGTTAAACATAACTTCACTCTTCTGTGATTATTCAGCCTGTTTGCAGCTTCAGTGTGGTGGTGCGCTTCAGAGATTTATTAGGCAGCTCAGTACAAGTGCTGCCAAAGCGCTCAGTCATAATCCTCTTAAGTGAGTGTGTGTGTGAATGTGTGTGTGTGTGTGTGTGAAATGAATACAAAGCAAAGAAAGTCAGGTTGGAAGTGAAGGAACGCATGAGGAGTGTGATGAAGACAACATATAGTGTTTAGTAATATGTGCATATTAATATAATGTCATATAATAATAATATGATATAATAATAAGACCTGTGCTCAAGGCTAACTCCAGATCTGATTATGTGCGATGACTGCATTATGACAACACTAAGAAGCTGATGATTGTCGGAGACATTACAACCATGAATATAACTGTGTTTATGTGAAGTATCCAGAATCATACCAAAGTAAACCTGTGAGTTTTACTAAATGTTTTGAAAGTGGTGCCATATTTTGGAAGCTTAGACTCATCAATGCATCGTCCAGGCTTCTGTGTGTCTTACAGGACTATGGACAAGCTTATATAGATCGATGATCACATGGTAGAATGATGTCACCATGAATTAAAAAAATCACTTCATATAATGTAGTAATGTATTAGAAACACAACCTGCATCTGATTTAGATTAATCCATCATCAGGGTTTAACTGGGACGATTTGAAAATAAAAAAGACACGAGTGTAGCCTCATTGGGGGATGAACAGCCTGCACAGCGCTTCCATCGCCCCTCTGATGCTTTTTCATTTCTGTTTGAACTCACAGCGTCTGATGTGGATTTGAACCGTCAGCAGGCCGCAGATTTAACTTGACTGTGGATTGGTTCAGATTTTTCATCGCAGCTGAACCTAAGCCCCTGTTTTTCTTAAGTGATGACTCGTCAGTTTTTAAGAGCACATCAAACAGCATTTTACAAATACGTAACCTGTCTTTATCTTGGCTTTTTCTGCTGCTCACACACTGTACTGAGCTTTTCACACAGAGCGGCTGGTTCACTCACTCAAGGGCAACTTGAGTTGCAGAAGAAAAAAGGAGCATTTCGTATCAGAGGTTTTCATTCCGAACCCCAGACTAAATTCTTCTTCTGTCTTCATCACGCCCTTGTGTTTTCTGAGTAAAATCAAGTCCTATAAATTCTTTACAGCCTTTTTACTGTGTTATGTAAATCTCAACAATATTGGTTTGAATTGCCGTATAAACCTGCATTTGTTAAATCCGCTTTTAGCCGCGGTTAAACAAATTTCACTTTATTTTCCCTGCTACAGGATGCGTGAGGACATGTCCACCATGGTGTGCGTGAAGGAGGAGGAGGACCCTGGGGAGAAGCTGTCCCAGGATGAGATCATCTCCCGGACCAAGCAGGTGATCCAGGGGCTGGATGCGCTGAAGCAGGAGCACCACTCCATCCTTGACGGCCTGCTGGGCACGCTGCGCTGCCTGAAGCAGGATGAGGAGGGCGTCCTGGTGGAGGAGAAGTCCAACATGATCCGCAAGTCCCTGGAGATGCTGGAGCTCGGGCTGAGTGAAGCACAGGTATGTGTTTAAAACAATAGAAAATCATTTTATAAATAAAAACAAACCACAGGCACTAGTAGTTGTACTTATACCTTAGTACATAGTATTCTGTTGATCTTAAATTTACGATAAAATATATTTTACTTATGAATGATCTGTAGATTTTGAAATGCAAAATCCAAATCAGTTCTCCTGAAGTAGTATTAATAGTAATAGTGTAGTATTAGTTAAATATTATGATTGATATAAAACACATTGTCAGCTCTAATGTAAATTTTGTTTGTTCATGTACCCTCTTGTCCTATAATTTGAAATATCTGTTGAGAGAACAAGATGCATCCCAGTTTGGAACAGCTGATTTATCACCCACCGTTAGCTCAAACTCATACCAGACGTGAAACGTCACCAGGCTAATTATTATCACAAGTTCAATGGAGGTAAAGTATTTTTCAGTAGGCTCCAGTAGACTGGTTTCAGGTCTTGATACATACGTGAGTTAAAATAGAAGCACATCTGCTCTTTACGATCAGACTTCAAAAAGGCTCCTGAAACAATCAGAAAAATGCTGCCGGTGTGGACCGGTGTCAGGTTGACGGCTCTTTGTCTCGCGGGTGTAACACGTGTGATAACAGACCGAGACATCAAAGCATCAACACAGACTCCAATGCTGAGATGTTGATTTCATCTTTATTTCATTTACACACCTTGTTCCTGTTGTCTGTCTCTATTATCATTTTAAATACATAAAAAAAGTTTCCTAAATACTCAGTTGCTGACCTGAAGTATCAATAACAAGCATTTAAACCATGTTCTAAAGAAAAGAATAGTTTGAATATTTCACACTTCAGAACTACAACATTTAGAAGTGTTGAAACATTTTCCTGTGAGTCAGTGATGAGTCACTCTCGATGCTTTAGCCCTGAACTTTCCCTCCAGCTGCAGCTTTTTTGCCAACAGTCCTGGTGAAGCACCGAGCGGTTCATACTTCTCTACATAATTGTACAATAGGAATCTTCCTGTTTATATTCTGCCTCAAGAAACATTTGTGTAGTTATTCCAACATCCGAACCGTGGGATTTGTTTTAATCCAACTATGAGGGAACTGTTGCGTTTAAAGAAACACGCTCCCCCTTTGCCCAGGTGATGATGGCGTTGTCGAGCCACCTGAGCTCGGTGGAGTCGGAGAAGCAGAAGCTGCGAGCTCAGGTACGCCGGCTCTGCCAGGAGAACCAGTGGCTGAGGGACGAGCTGGCGGGGACGCAGCAGAAACTGCAGAAGAGCGAGCAGAGCGTGGCCCAGCTGGAGGAGGAGAAGAAGCACCTGGAGTTCATGAACCAGCTGAAGAAGTACGACGAGGACCTGTCCCCAACTGTGAGTCTCCAAGTTAATCTCTCTGTTGACGTCTTATGGGTCAAGAAGAATTTTCATTCATTTTATTAATGCTCTGATTTGCTTTCAAATGTATTTTCAAACATCCAGAGGACAGAACAAGTGACTCAGCAGATACATTTGAAATGTTCTTTTGTGGATTTAGAAAACAGTCCCTACATTACCCTCTATCTTTGTCCTCCTTTTACTCTCTCTCCCTCACTCGCTCCTCTCAGGAGGAGAAAGACTCTGACTCCAGCAAAGAGACTCTGGATGATCTCTTCCCTGATGACCACGACGACCAAGCCCCGGGCAGTAAGTGTTACGTCTTCTAATCTAGATTGGACGGAGAGGTTGTTCATGTTTCTGTACAAAAGAAGAAATCGCTTTAATTCGAGGAATAAATACAAACATCACCAAGAGAATTTGTGAAAGTAGAACATAAAGTTCTCTTCTCTGATGGTCGCAGCAGGTTTGAAATTGTCACTGCTGTAAAACTCATCACCTCCTTTGGGAATCTAACTTCTATATTTGTACCAGTGACACCCGTGTAAGTCAGTGGGCGTCCTCGGAGCGCCCTCCCCCCCGCCTCAGTGTTTGATGGGGTGATGTTTCAATAACTCAGTGGTCCAGACAGTAAAGCTGTGCTGGCTGTAAAGGTCCATTTGTCAGGACCTGTTTCAGCCTGGATGGAGCCCAAAGGGAGAAAAAACCCTCTCAGCCACAGTGTTCCAGGATTTCTACTGTTTTTCCTTCAGTGCGTCTGAAGTCTGGTGAAATAATGTTTGACTTCAGTGGTTTGTTACGATCCCATTTGTCTTTGCTTTGAATTCCGATAAGCTTGAAGCTTAAAGTCATTAGAGGCAAAGCACACAGTTCTGATTAGCTTCTCCCAGTTTGTCTGTATGAAACCAGTCCAGGTCCAGTTTTCCTTTGTCTGCCTGAATTGAAAGAAATGCACCGTAACATTGAGTTTGTTTTTGGGGCGAATGGCAGAGCGACCAAGAAGCTTCTGGTCTCAACAAAAAGGAAAACAATTTGTCCTCTGACTTGGCACAGGTAGCGTGGTTTAAACCCTGTTTGTACCAAGGTGATTTCCATTTGGCTCCGAGCACCAGTTTGTCAGCCAGTTTCAATCTGCCAGCAGACTGGTCCGCGCTCTGAGCCAGACTCCAGGCCGCTGACTTCTGCTGAGCAGACGTACAGAAGGGATAAACAGTAAAAACAGTACATACATTTATAATAAGACACTAGTACAAGGAAATATATAAACAAATACAAATCTTCAAGTTAATCAAAGACATAACTGTGCATGAAATCCAACACACACTGTCCTGCTGCCCCACATACTCAGCAGAGCATCAAATATGTATTAATCTGCCACTGAAAACATCTGCAGCAAACGCACTTTCTTCCCATTTATGTTGGGAATAACAGAAATACAGAATTTCTCCTGCTGCATCCGTGTGTACCAATGTCAGCTGTATACTTGCAGCACGTTTCTCCTCAGGCCGAATTCAATTCCACAATTTTTAGCTTTAAAGGGTTTTGTCGTCTGCGTGTTTCTGTTCTTATGAAAACGGACTTTATTTTTTTTGCATGTGTAAATGTCAGGATGTGGTCGTCCTGGTGTTTCCTCTTTCTTACAGTGTATCGTGGGTGTAATTTCAGGGTGCGATCCAGACTTCTCTGTGTTTCGGCCCAAATTACGATTTCAGGTCGCAGCGAATAAGAGGATATTATATTTTTACGTTTTATCTTTAGTTACTTGCCGAGGATGAAAGATGAGCAGCTCAAAGAGATTTAATTAGGAAAGAGGGATGGGATGTGTTTAGGATCTGCTGAGCGCTGCAGTAGAAGAGAGGTTGTTCTCCTCTGCTCTTCAGGCCTGGAAATTTTCTTTGCTTTCGGTGAATTGATGTTAGCAGCAAGACGTAAATGGTGATGAAAGCTTTGTCTGGATTTAAATTGACCTCAGGCTTATTTACAGTGATTTGTCTTTACAAATATTTCCATTTCAGCCTTTATCTAACTCTATACAGCGAAGTACTGAGTGTACTTGTAAAGATCTCATGTCCTGTTTCTGTTAATGAAGTGAACACCTTCCATAAGTGCTGCAGTTTTATAATGAAGTTACGAGCTGAACTTTGGTGCGAGTGGCTCTGAACACCTGGTACCACTTGGTGTTTCGGACTCTTCACTGTGGTCGGTGTGATTGCTGCCGTGGGCGTCTCCCACTTGAAACGCCACTCGCTCTCCTTCACAGTAAATATAGAGGTGCCTGCCTTTAATAAGACGCCCAATCAGGGGGGTTTCCTGACCTCTCGCTCTCATGCACGTACATTCTCACGCACGCTCGCACAGAATCAGACCGGCAGACATGAGGAATGTCATGAGAGAGATTCCTGTCATGTCCTCCTGACCCCGGCGACGTTCCACACAGGAGCCATTTTCTGTGCACTGCAGCAGAATGAGGACATTGTTTGTGTTTGAATAATCTTTTATTCAGGGAACACGTTAACAGCCTGATGTTTGTTTTGTCGTGGTTTTAGTTTTGGACCCTTTTGCAGTTGTCGGATTGCTAAAGTGTAATTTTTTTTTCAAGCTGAAGCCGACAGGAAGTCACACATATGTAACTAGAATGACTGAAACCTATTAAATAATTATACAGAGCATTGTAAGATTAATCTGTCAGACAAACAACAGAGCAGATGTTTAAGTTAAACCTCTTATTTGTGAGGATTTGGAGTGATTATTTGTTTTAAGGGAAAATCAACCAATCACTAACCAATGTTTCATGATTTTTTTGGGATGAAATAGGCGGATCATTAAATCTGTGTGCAGTCGATCATTGTTTTTCCACTTTCCTCTTTGTGTCTCCAGTCCAGCCGGCTCATGGCAGCGCTGCGGCGGCGGCTGCCCAGCAGGGGGGCTATGAGATCCCGGCCCGTCTGAGGACCCTTCACAACCTGGTGATCCAGTACGCCTCCCAGGGCAGGTACGAGGTGGCTGTGCCGCTTTGCAAACAGGCCCTGGAGGACCTGGAGAAAACCTCTGGACACGACCACCCAGACGTCGCCACCATGCTCAACATCCTCGCCCTCGTCTACAGGTTAGTCGAAGAAATCCAGTACGTTGTTTAGACCTGAACCGTAGCAGTGGTTTCCAAGATGAAGTATAGAATAGATTATTATGATTAAATGTTTCTCCTACAACTTTAAACCTTTAAAAGAGTCAATTTAAACTACATAAGCCACAAACATCATTCGCGTTAGGAGAAATAAAACATTTCCTGGAGGTGCCTCGGTTTCTTAGATTGCACTGTTCACAACTTAAATGTAAATCCTCAAAGTCCCCGACCACTTTGACTAATTTTACAATGGAGTTGAAACTTCTCAGTGAACGATGAGATCGTGTTTGTGAGTGTCAGTGTGTGACGGATATCAATGAAAGGAATGTTCTTAACCTTGTTGCTTCATGGCACAGTTTGAACCCCCCCCCTCCCCTCAAAACTCTTTCCTTTTCTTAGAAAAACCTGCAGTAATGGACATAACACGTAGTCTCTTTGTCACTGTCACAATGACCCTGGAGGTTGTTTGTACACACCCTTAAAGCATCGTATGACGGGCCTCCCACTGAGAGCTGGATGCCTTTCTACGTCAGGAGTGGAACACGGCAAACACAACCTAAGATTTACAGTACAGTTACAGAACAAAAGAATTCTCCAGCGTCGTTGCCATGTCCTTTTTTTTTTCCTCTTCCACAAATCTTATCCGTTGAATAGTGAGCCTGGACTTTTGATTTAGTTGCCCTGAAGGAACGATAGACTGGGTCGACTTGTTGTAAGCCGACTGTGGGAACTTGTGCAAAACTATTTCAACCATGTCACCTGAAAACAACGGGCTATCAGTGGAAAGTGTCGTCATTCTGTGCATCCGTGTCTGACTCTGCTTGTTTGTGTCTGTTTGTCAGGGATCAGAACAAATACAAGGAGGCAGCAAACCTACTGAACGATGCTCTGGCCATTAGAGAGAAGACGCTCGGCAGAGACCACCCAGCTGTGAGTGCATCTGTCTCTTCATTACACTCTTTCAGTTTTGTTTTTCTTGCATCTGATAGTTGGACGAGACATTTTTATGCAGTTGATTAAATCACAGTTTTGTCTGAATCATCGAGATGTATCACTCTGCTCCTGAGGTTATGACGCCCTGGAAAGATATGTAGATATGCATCAAAGCTCAAAAATAAATAATGGCATCACACAAGTCATATTATAACCAGTGAATCCATCAGAACAACATTAAATGTGACGTCAGAGAAATTTAGCCAATGTTGCACAAACATTGAGTTGAACTGATCAGTGTTTCCTTACAAACTACACAAATATGGTGGTTGAAGGTCAAAGGTCACTGTGATCACTCAAAACCTTTATTTACCACGTGAACGTGTAAAACTGTTCTGGTTGGTGGAGGCATACGACCACAGGGCGGTAACTCTATCTCTCTCCAAGAGTTAGATGAGTAGATCAATACCAATGTCATATCTGAAATCAGGAATCAGTTAGTTGGCTTAGCATAGCTTAGAGTGAAAATGGTGGAAATGGCTCCACCAGAAGACAACAACATCCATCCAACATAAAAAACAAACAGACAGAAAACATTCTGATAAATAGCTCATAAATATAAAATACACGTTAATAAGATTTGGATTAGTTTTAAGTGTCTTTTCTGTCCAGACTCATTTTAGATTTCACATCTTCCAATCACAGCTAATGTATTTCTGCTCGACTGTGATGATCAGAGTGAACACGGAGGGCTTCATAAATATTTAACCCGGATCCATGAACCTCTGTCCGTCAGTGTGACTGTAAACACACAGCAGGTTGACTAACTGTGTTAACCCCAGCAGGCTTCTGTCTCCACTGTCTGGACCAACATCCCACTCCACTCTGTCAAGCTGAGGTTAGCCCTCCACATTCCTCCCCTCCCACCTACATCCTTCACCCCCTCACACCGTCACCAGGCCCCGATCTTTCTTTTCCACAAAGAATTGATTCTGATTCATCATTCAGAAGGAATCACGTCTCCGTTCACTGTCCACAGACCTCTTTTCTTCCTCTGTCTCTCTTTGAGTCCCCTTCAACCTCTTATGTAACATCTTTTCAATGTCTCAGTCTCATCTACTGTCCTTTGTCTTCATGTTAAGTTTTTAAAAACGGTTGTGAATGTGAACTGGAACGCTGCGGGCACTTTGTCACATCATCTGATCTGTAAGTGTGAGTCTTGGATGAAACACCAGATTGTTAGACTCGAACTAATTTGAATTTCTTTTGGATTGTGCAGGGAGACGCTGATTTCACGTTCAGACTTCAAATGCCTTCACTTACAAACGTTGCGCTCACATATGTGTTTTGATGTTTGTTACATGGACAGAGATTAATATTATTATCGCAGCTAAAACGCTTGTGTGGACGGAAATCGTCTTAGTTTTAAATCAAAATGTATTAGTATGAATGTAGCCTCCCTGAATCATCTCCCCCTCCCCCCATTGCCTCACCCCTCTATCCTTCCTCTCTCTCTCTTCCTCCCACTTGGCCACATGGCCACCAGATCCTGGTCTGAATCAGAGATCAGAGGTGACCTCTGTAGTCTCCTTCCTCCTCAGTGCACATGTTGGGGATTCATCACGCAGCTCACTCGGATCAACCTACAGCCCACTATGATCATCGTCACTGTTTCCGCACCTTTCTCCTCATCGATTACTCACTCACTCGGATCAATGGCACTCGGCTGCTGTGGTGGAGATTTGCGGTTGCACACGTTGTTGGACGTGATTGAATATTTCTGAATAATAAATGTGTTGTCGGGTTTTTCAGGTTGCAGCCACCCTCAATAACTTGGCCGTCCTCTATGGGAAGAGAGGGAAGTACAAGGAAGCCGAGCCTCTGTGCAAGAGAGCGCTGGAGATCAGAGAAAAGGTAGGTCAAAGGTCACCCAACACAGAAGCAGTTGAATTAGTAATGAGGGCGCATGACGAAGCAGCTGGTTCTCCACTCAACCTTATAATATTCTCCTCCATCCTTTCAATCTAAAATCTACTTTCACTTTCAGAACAAGTCAGCGTTCCACTTAGCAAACACAAAACTGCAGACCGACGATTTCTCTCAAGATGGTTGCCACGAGCCTCTGGTGTAAATGGAGGACAAATGTATTCGAAGATGACTGAGATTAAGTGAAATGTTTGGGGAGACGAGAACGGGACTGTGAGCTGCACAGGCTGAGCTGCTTTGACTCGAGGATTAGCAATACCGATTTTTTATTATTTACTGTCGGGAACTCACTTTCAAAGATTTAAGTCGTTCCTGTTTCCATTTATCTAAAGAAGAAAATATGAATCATGGTGCAGTCTTGCGTTCACAGAGAAATTCTACTGTCATCATTCGTCTCATCTGTAGTTTGATGCTGACACAGTCGCTGCTCAGCAATCTTCAAAGTGCAGAAGACACTTTTTATCCTCTGCTGCATCCACGGCTCTTTCCTTTGGACAAATCCTCGTCCTTCCTGCCGCCTCTTCTGAGAATGAAAACATCGTCTTTCCTTAAGCTGAAGTTCACTCCGATGATAATGCTCACGCTCGAACCAGAAGACTCGCCTGCTCCAGCTGCCACTGAGGCTTCTCACTGTGTTCTCTTGTTCAGTAAACATTCAGGTAAAACGTGGGTCCAGTCAGTGCGCTGTGAAGGACCGGCCTTTCCTCATTCATTTTAGATGAAAGTAGCGTTCCTGAGAGTTTCCCAGAAACCACTGCAGCACCGTTGTTACTCGAAGTCCTGGCATCCATCGAACAAACACGATCTATTCTTCAGCGACTCCTCGTGCTGTTGTTGTTATTGCGATCCTTTTTCTCAGCTAATAATGTTTACAGGAAAGCTGTCAGAGGTGTGTCTCTGTGGAGGAGAAGTGTGGAAGCTCCGAGTGAATACTGTAGGTTTCATCTCTCTGCAGCATCCCGGAGATCACACACTCCGTCTGTCAGACTCCATCAGGCGGAGGGCCGATCCTGCGATGCTCAGGAAGGATTTGATTCCGCAGTAAACTGAAGCCAAAAGCCACTTGATTTATTTAGTCTCACTCTTCAGCACGTGTTGTTACGATGGGTTTTTTCTTTCTCAGTCTCCCCCGGCCACCCGCTGTTTACGTCCCAGTTTCCCCAGTGTTTTTAATTAAGTAGTTTCTCAATGAGCAGCGGCCAACATAGTGTTTCACCGGTTGTACCTTCTTTTTTAGATTCTCTCTTCTGTCATCCCTTCATCTCTTTTTCATTTGTTTCTTTGCTTCTTTTTCTTGATTCCAAATTTCTCTCTACCCTTCTCTGATCGCCATCTCTTCTGTGGTCAGTCTCAGATAAAAACCCTTAACATAGTTTTCTGAGTCTAGGATGTTTTTGCATCTCTCAGATCTAATGGATTTTCAGCTCACAGAATATGATTACTCTTCTCTCACAGCCGCATCAATGCAAACACAATCACTTTTAAATAACGAGGATATCGTTTTCTGTGAGGAATTCTGTTTGTTCCTCTTTCCAATGTGTTTCTTTACTGTTTTCTTTATCAAACAAACAATAGTAGGTCAACGCAACATTTTGTAAGACACATCCACTGGATGTCGTTCAGAAAGCACATTTCAGTGTGTAACCAGAAACAACAAGTAGTTTCAGGGTCAAATTAACCTGGCAAGAGACGAAACAAACAGATCCAGTGGTGACAAACATCTGTCTTCCTGGAAATCACTACACAAAAGGTTCAAAACTGGATTACATTTTTGAAATTGAAGGATATACAGTAGAGATATGGGGAAATAATTACTCACTATACTGTCGGTATTTCTCAGGGAATAATTCATGGATCTTGATGGAAAGAATCCGGCATATTTAGTGGACTGATGTTAATAATAAATCTGGATCAACCGGATTTATTTAGATCAAGATTTGAATGTGGTTTTGTAGAGTTGGAGGCTTCTCTCAGCTGCAGTTGGGTAATACATGTTCATGTGGATCCAGGATTTTCTAAGTCCCTTGTCCCTTGTGGTAGGTATGAGCTCTAATGCGTGTCATTCTAGTTTTACAACAGTAAACCTTTCTAGCTACACAAGCAGAGTCAGTAGCACCTGGCTTCGGTCTTGTGATAATATCTCACCCTGCAGAAGAGCAGTCAACCAAATGGCACAAGCCAGACGCAGCTTGTCGTATAAAACAGATTCTCTTTGATGGAGTGAGTGTTGTTTTAACCCCCACGTCTGCCTGCTTCCGTCCCAGGTGCTGGGGAAGGACCACCCAGATGTGGCCAAGCAGCTGAACAACCTGGCCCTGCTGTGTCAGAACCAGGGCAAGTATGATGAGGTGGAGTACTACTACATGAGAGCGCTGGAGATCTACCAGACCAAACTGGGCCCTGACGACCCCAACGTGGCCAAGACCAAGAACAACCTGGTGAGAGGGACGGAGGCAGAATTTCATGAAGGAAGGAACGATACGTTCTCAACAAAAGACATATTTGTATAATTAACTCATCAGGGTGAATTCTCTGGGAGATAAATCTGTAGGAAAACCTCTGACTTTTCATTTTTATGCTGAGTTGGTGTTTGTTTATCTGTGTTTTTCAGGCGTCCTGTTACCTGAAGCAGGGCAAGTTCAAGCAGGCCGAGACTCTTTATAAAGAAATCCTCACCCGCGCTCACGAGAGGGAGTTTGGCTCTGTTGATGGTACGATGTGCACACGTGACTGAAGGACACGCGCACTTTCACATTTTATCTCTTGTGACTTTGCAGAACTCAGACAAACCTATTCTTACTTTATTCGTCCACACTCCCTGCCGTCCTCATCTGCTTGTGGAAAGGTTAACGTGTTCAGGCTGCAGCTAACGTTCGGACAGATGTAAACAATCAAAAACGACCTTTCAGCTGAAAATGAGAAACTGTATTTCTTCAGAACCAGAGTGATTTAAAGTCTGTGTTCTCTCTCCAGCTGTTTAGACGAGTGTGTGCATGAGACTGATTTAGTTTTTTTTTTTTTCTTCCCCTCCAGATAAGAACAAACCAATCTGGATGCATGCTGAGGAGAGAGAGGAACAAAGCAAGGTGAGAGTCTGCAACCGTGAATCTGTTTCCATCACGTGCAGAAAAATTCTTATAAACAATGGATAAAATTTGTCTCTAAAGAAGTTTGATATAACTTTAATTCTGTCTTCGTTAAGTGAAGCCGGGACAAAGAATAGTTTTAGCCACGGGCACAGAAAACAAACATTCAGGTTTTAATGATCGTAATTAAAATGGAATGTGAAGGATTGATGATGCAAAGATTAGCAGTACTGATGGTATTAAAAGGTATTTTAATCCTTTACAGCATTAGTCACTTCACATTTTGCTTCATGGGCTTCTTGTCCAGACTTGGAACTATCCTGTAACTGCATGTTGATTCCTTAAAACGTGTCTTTGTGAACTGATGAGTCTTGTTTCAAAGGGGAAGCAGAAGGACGGTTCACCATTTGGAGAATACGGAGGCTGGTACAAAGCCTGTAAAGTGGACAGGTCAGTTTATTTGATGAAGACATCATACTGTCAATAGGTGTTTAAATGTCTCCTCTCGGCCAGAGGTTCCTAAATGATTCAATGATTTATGATGATGATGATTGTTTCATTTTCCTTTTTTACATTTGTTTGTAAAAAGTCATGTTATTGGACTGGGGACAGTAAACGTGAAATCATTTTATATCTAAATAATTGTTGATATTTGTGTTTCCCAACAACTGTTATCTGTGGTGACATATTTCTGCTTCTTGTGTTCGCAGCCCCACAGTGACCACCACCCTGAAAAACCTTGGCGCCCTCTACAGGCGGCAGGGCAAGTTTGAAGCGGCAGAGACTCTGGAGGAAGCCGCCACGCGTTCCAGAAAGCAGGTGTGGTCTCTGGATGATGTGACTAACGACACAGAATTCCTAGCCGGGCTTTAGACGTCACTGTGGGCGTTACAGTGTCGGCTGCAAATCACTTCTTTACGACAGCATTGTGGTGTAAAGCCCGGGGTGAGATGATCCACTGTTAGGACTCCGCAGAGCCTGGGCAGCAGCTTCTAAACTGCCTCGTGGTTAATGGAGTCTCCTGCGGTGATGAGAAGTGGGAGCAGCAGTGAAGCCCTGAAGCTTTTACGCAGTATTAGAATTTCTGTGGTGCCACTGCAGTGAAAGCTGTGGAGAGTAAAGTTTAATTTTAGATATTGATCCTCATACAGATTGCTGTCATCTGAAGTTGAAGTTGTTGAAAATTCTATTACCAGAATTGGCAAAAGAAAAATCTGAAGGAAATGTTGTAATTCTTGCATTTTTTTTACGATTTCCACATTTAACTTGAGAAACAGAAAACTGAGAAATGTGGTGTAAAGGTTTAATCAGAAGTCTCAGCTCCAGGTCACATGATAGATTTATCTTTTTAAACACACTAGGGTGTTGATAAAGTTCAAATATCAGGACAACAGAGCAGTTCTACAGTTTGCGGGTGGAAGAAGTCTATAGCTTCTGCTTTAATTGAATTAGTAGAGTTGGCATTTATTGCTGCCTTGTGTGTGTTTGTGTATTAGGGTCTGGACAATGTGCACAAGCAGCGTGTGGCCGAGGTCCTGAGCGAGCCAGAGGCCCGCGAGAAGCAGCGAAGCCGCGAGAGCTTGACCTCCGACACGGTGAAGTACGAGAGCGGGCCGGACGGTGGCGAGGAAGTGAGTATGAGCGTGGAGTGGAACGGGGTAAGTACAGTACACAGCCCTCCACACGTCACTGAGAGTCTTCCCACCAGGGACGCTGACATGTTTACACACAGCCGGTATCTTTCTGAGCAGAAGCCACATTAGAGTGAATCCGATCTGATCAATACGAGTTTGATTTTCACACGTCGTGTCTTCTCAGCGCAGACTTACAGATTCAACACAAACCCGTCTGTGAGTACATATCGACTTACGTGTACAAGGCGTGGTTTGTTTTTCCACTGCACTGTGGAGCCAGAAGATTACATCAGTGTGGTTTTATTTATCTTCTTGATCTTCAAATTGAAATTTGCAGTTTTAAGGTCAAGGGCTCTAAGTTTTATTGGACGTAAAAAGAAAAAGGGCTCAGTGTGTAGAAAACTGAAATCAATGTCAGACAAGAAATCGACACGCTCCACTGACGGCTCCCGATAAATTCAATTTAATCCAGCAATCTTTTGATCAGACAGAGATCTGAAAATATTTCCAATTATCCAGCAAATTTCTAATAAAATTCTAACTCTTTTAAGAAGATTCCTGCAAGAAAATCTCTCTGAGTTTTTAAGATTTGCTCCAGTTTCACAAGAAATCCTCGTACGATGGAAATTAAAGTCAGTGGCTTCTTTAAAGAAAGATACACCGAGGTTGTTTCTGCTCATTCATTCTAATCAGGAGTTCCAGTATAAACCTGTTTAAAATTATGTAAACGGAGCGTTTAGTAGTGATAATGCTGATTGACTGTCACAGCTACTCTCCTCTGCTTCAGTAGTTCAGTATCTTGCTTGTACTTCACTGTTACTGACAGATTAATAAGCCCAATTAAAACCCGCTGATGCGTTAACTCGGCTGGATCTTAAATCTCTAAAACGAGGTGCGTCAGTCGTAGTGTTTTCATAGAACTGTGGTTGTCATAAAAACTCTTTTCCCACTAAACTCTCTCCTCCTGTAGAGTTTTCCTACTAACTCCAAGTCTTAATAAGCTGCATTCACAGCAGAGCAGGCCTCTGGTCACACGTGTCGTCACCGCCCACCTCACCTCATCCCCTCTGCTGCAGAGACACTTTTCTAACCGAGCATCTGCCGTATTCTCTCCGGTGAATCCCGACGCTCAGCGTGTAGATGTAGGTTCGCTGCTCACCATCACCGTCTTATTCCCCCGAGAGGCCGCCGCCCCCCCCCCCCGCACAGAGCTCACATAGCAACAGTAGGCAATAGAACCTGAACAACCAATCAGCAACCTCCTCCCGTAACTCAGATCGGGAGATGGTGTGAGACGCATCAGTCAGTGAGGAGCCTCCTGCAGGCGATGTCATCACCAGCTGATCTCTGGACGTATTTATATCAGGAAAACTGCCTCGTCTGGAGAGAGCTTCAGATGATGATGCTTTTAATTTACAGGATTCTCTGATCACAATGATCCAAGAAGAAAAAAGAGGAATGAGAGCAGCACAATAGAAAGATAAGAATAAATAATGCAGAAAATAAATGTGTGTATTTATCTTTATATTTACAAAATAATCATCTTAATTAATATTTGTTTTTAATTTATAGTTATTCATAATTAATTCTTTGTTTAAACTGTAAAAATATCAAACCTTTGGATTAGTACTTGTAAGAATGCCTTATCAGTATATTAAGATCAAGCATAGTAAGGAAATACTCTAAATATACACTTAACATGTACAAGTATATGACCTCTGTGATCCCTGTGTATCACAGTTGTCTATCTAACACTCCACTGATTCGTTGGAAGTTATCGACAACATTTAGCTTTTCAACCCGTCAGAAGAAATCCTCACTTCCACTGGAGCTCTCTCCTCAGGCAGGTGTGAAGACTTTTATTTTCTCACATAAACACTGTGATCAGCCCCTGACTCATCGGTGTGTTCATCTGACTCTTCGTGGGCTCTGTACTGTACTCTGCTGATGTTTCTGATCCTTGTCCACTGTGCTCGGTGTCTGTGTCCCTCCTCTGTCTGTGTGATGAGCTGCGGACTGAGAATGTAATGTTTCATTTGGTTTTTCCTTCTCTGACCTTTTATTCCTTTTCCCTCTGCTTGCTCTGTCAGCGTGTGAGCAGCCGGAGAGCAGAGGCACACGCGTTAATGTGCGTTGGACTAGAAAATCAAATGTCCCCGTTTCATATTAACTGGTGGAAGTGGGACAAATTGATAAACCACAGACACAAAGCAAAGTGAATAGACGAGACAAGATATTGATGCAAAGAGCTGTGGAGAGGGAACGTACGTGGGGAGACGTCCTTTAATTTAAGTTGGACATTCAGAGGTTCTCTGGCTGCTCTCATGTGTCTCTGACCTGCATCTTCTCTGTGTTTGTGCTGTTTAACGAAGTTTAACGTTGATGTAAACGTGTTAATAACGTGTCGGACGCAGAGTTTCTCCATCACGTTAATCTGTGCAGAAGCGCCACACAGTGGCAGAGTCTGAGAATTACATTAAAGTCGTTTTCTCACTTTTAAACTCAAGAGATGTGGAAGAAGCATTTATATTAAAGATTGGACGTCTCAACATGAGATGCTTTAAATAAATACATTTTATAATATAATCAATGTCCCGTCAGTTTTCACATGTGGTCGAACATCTGGAGTGAAATGATCGTCTGGTGACGAACCAGCTGCTGGAGAAATACTGTGTCTGATCTGATGATAACTTCTGTCACAGTCTCTCTCTCTTCTTTCTTCTCTCTCTCTCTCTCTCTCCATCTCTCCTCCTCCTCCTCTTCTCTTTAACTGCTCATTCTCATCTTGTTGTCTTTTCTCCTCGTTCACCGTTTGTGTCTCCTTCTCTTCTCTTCCTGCTCCCGTCTGACCGGCAGGCATAACTCCAGATGCCTTGCAATGGTTCTAAAATAACTCGTCTTCTGCATGACGGACGCCTCGCCTCGCCTCGCCGCGACCGTGCTGCGCCTCAACCCCTTCAGCTTTTTGCAGTTTTCTTCAGCTCCGACTCCCCTCCCCTGCTCTCTTTACTCCTCCACCTCCTCTGGGTTCTGGTGGGATTCTCCACGTCGGGTTTAACCAGAGCGATAGCGTTGCTTTTACTCCTAAAATCCAAACTGCCACCTCCTGTTTGTCCTGTAAGTCTGTTCTGTGGGTGGGAGAGGATCAGGGGGAGGTTTCTTTACGGCAACATTAAATTGTTATTTCTTGCTGTGGTTGAACAGTAGCCTCTTTTTCTCCTCTCTTTCTGTCCTCTGTCTTTAAACTGTATTTCATTCTGGCTGTAGACTCATTTAACAGTTGTTGGTTGAATTGTGTGTTTGGGGGATTAACTGTTTGCCCTGAAACCAAATATTTGCTTTCTACCTTTTTTCTTCCAAACTGTCGTCACTGTCCTCTTCGCAGTTTGGACTTTTCACATCCTGAATCCTAACAGTCCCCAGTCGTAACTCAACTAAACACAGTTGCTTCGCATTAATTATTTGCTTTTGCTGGAGTTTAACGCTTTGAAAATAGTTAAAAAGTATTGAAATAATAAAAAATAAATCAGTCCCAGAACCACCGAAAATGTAAATTTAAAAGAGTTTACTTAACGCGAGACCTTTGAGCATCATTTTAATCTAGTTCGGCCGAAAAGTTTGCAAATTAAAGTTTTGTGTAGCATGTAGAGCTAAAACGAGTAATTAATGAGTCAATTAACAGATAATTAAACTGTTTCAATTATTGATTTATCATATAAGTAAAACTTTAAGCAAAAATGCCAACGGAGCTGTGCCCAGTTTCTCAAACGCTGGAGGTTTTTCTGTGTCGCACACGATGGTCAACTGATTATATCTGAATAAAAACCCAATTTGAATTATTAAAGGGAGACGAATACAAAAACAAGATAAATCCACAAAATGAAATCAGTTGTGAAAATAATCGTTGAATTTAAAGACAAAAATATAAAATCAACATTTTCAAGATTTGATCAGAAGTTATGAATTTGAAGAAGAATATGAAACATCCAAAGAAGAAGCTGGTCCGGTGATCAATCAAACATCAGCTCTTATTATACGAAACATTTCAGAATCGTCTCCAGGTGTGAAACGATCGCAGATGAAGCTCTGAACATGATCCTCCTTCTCTCCGTCCTCCTCCTCCTCCTCCTCCTCCTCTCTGGAGGTCAGACGCTTTTCATCAGATCAATTCTCCATGAACCTGTGAAATCGTCAGCGGTGACTCAGAAACGTCCTCGGCTCTTAGTGACTCCACGCGCTGTAAATAACATCTGCGTCGCTCGTCAGCATGATCGAGAGCTCCGTCCTCGTCGTGGCTCTGTAGGCTTCTGCTCCCGGTGAGAGTTTAGTCGTTAGTGTGTGTGTGTGACTTTGTGCTCAGTGTCATCCATCCAGTACGACACCAGACTGAAAACTACAGTTCATGCATGAAGGAGATGAATGTTCAGAAACGTGTGTCTGAATTTAAAGCTGCAGCAGGAGAAGGTGTTCCAGTGTGAGTGAGTGTGGAGGGAAGAAGTGAAGCTTCAGTGGAAACATCATGCAGCCTGTTCACCTTCTGTATATATCTGTATATAGATGTAATGGTGGGGGTGGGGGTGGGGGTNTGCTAAAATCCAGCTGATCTGTTGGTTTGGTCAGATCTCGTTAAGTTACGAAATGTTCCAAAACAAATTCAAATTCTGAATAAAATAATAAAACTTGCGAACTGGGGAAAAAAAAAAAAAAAGTCTCCGCTTTGGTCTCTTCTTTGCTTCTGCTACTAATCCTCTGTGTCCTGTCTGTCTGTGCATCTTACAGTTTGTCTTTCTAAACTTCTAATAAAACCTAAACTCTTTGCTCACCTCCACCTGAGCCCGTCGCCTCTTTGTGTGCTCCCTCTCTTCTCTGTTCGCCCTCGTGACCAGGTCGTCTCTGAGCCCTCAAGCTCCTCCTCCACGTCACCTGACTGGAGTTACAGCAACACGTCTTCACACAACCGCGTCCTTATTAGCTTCAGATAACTGGATTCACGTCGGAAAGTTTTATCAAACATGAGCAAAATGACTAAATATTCAAGCAACGATAATCGTCCAGAGGCTCCAGAATAAAAGTCAATACACACAAAGTAACAGCATGAAGCTGTTCCACTCCAGTCCATCAGGTGGCAGTAATGCAGAACACTATCCTGCAACAAATAAACGTAATCATTATGATGATTCTAATTATTCTGAATATCATAGTAGTATCTTCTGCAGCTCCATAATGTCGACACGTTACCAGTTTAGTACTTTTTTAGGAGGTAAAAATATTTCCCAGGAATGAACTCTGGTCCCTGTGGTGGAAACACGAGCTTCCTGCTTCCTGGAGTGAGTTCCTGTGGAAAGTTTGTTAAGATGGAAACACCTGAGCTCAGATTTGATCCAAAGAAACCACAGTTTTAAAAAATGAAAACCAAGTCGAACACACACACGTGATTTAAATCTGAGTGTAAATGAAAAGTTTTATGTGAACACAAGATATTTGAAGTGATGAATGATCCTGGGAGCAGGTCACAGTTTGAGGCTCCGCTCAGTTCCTCAGCTGTTTTATTTGTTTATGTTGAAGATAAGTGACTCGACAATCTAAAAGGTTTTACGATGATTCAAATGTTCTGATTTATAAACTTTAGAAGTGCGACGCCCAGATTATTAAATCAGTTTAACGAGCGTGCACGTGCATCGCTGTGGTTTTGCACGGGAGATTGTGCACGATCGTGCATTTTTACCAACGTTTGTGTGAGTTTGCTTTTGAAAAGTGTTTCCTGACTGTGACCTGAGCTCAGGTTTGAAATATCCTGAATCACTCAATCTGCTGCTTCGTGTCAGTTCCTCAGTGGTTTCATGGAAACTAGAATAGAACACGAACTTCTGCCGAACTAACACAACTAACGCCTCTGTAGTTTTTACGAGCTGCCTCAGGACGTTAATGTAGTAAACACTGTGTTAGTACATGCACTGTGTGTGTCTGTGTGTGTGTGTGTGTGTGTGTGTGTGACCCTGTGACGTCTCCCATCAGGACGGCTCCGGCTCTTTGAAGAGGAGCGGCTCCTTCAGCAAACTGCGAGCGTCGATCCGTCGCAGCAGCGAGAAACTCGTCCGCAAGCTGAAAGGCGGCGGCTCGTCTCGAGACAGCGAGCCTAAAAACCCAGGGTAACTATCCCCCCCACCCCCACCCCCACCCCCACCCCCACCTCCACCTCCACCCTCACCCTCACCCTCACCCAGACACCTGGCAGTCTGACTTTATGCACTGACGACCTGGAGGATGGAGCCGGGCCTCCGGTCCGCAGCTCGCCTGCCGGAGTAACTAACCCAAAGCTAAAGAAGGGATCAGACTCTGCTGGCGGTGACGGGGTTTAACTCTGAAGCTGTTTGCACACGAAGTGATCGAAGGAGCTTTTACTGTCAAACACTCATCTGCATGAGCTTCAACTTCTCTTTCCTCACGTCGCCGTTGCAAAGATTTGATTGTCATGTTTTGTCAGAGGACGGGAGCACGAACAGCCGAGCGTCTGTCCGCTGCTCCGAGACAAAATATCTTAGATTTCTTATTTTCTAAGTTATGACATCATGGAGGGAAAGTATTATAAAGACAAGAAAAGGTTTTTCTTTTCTTCTAGAAATATTTGACCTTCTGCTCTCGAAGCCTCAGATCATTTGTTCCGTCATTGATCAAACCCGAACAAAATGAGAACCAAAGGAAACTAAACGTGCACGGAGCAGTGAGCTAACGACGCGCTCGTGAAAATGCTGCGACGTGAAAAGAAGCATCTACTAATGTCTGCTTCGTGAAATGCTTCATGCTTGTTGTGCCTGCGGAGCTTTTTTGTTCTGTTTTATTTTAAACTACTAATAGTTGAATCTATTTATTGCATTTTTTTTTTGTGGCTGTGGATTTTTATTCTTTTGGGTTTTTGTGAATTTTATTCTGAAAACAAACTGCATGGCTGTTTTTGTGGAGGATTTTATTCTGTGTTGAATTTTTATTTATGAATAAATGTTTTCATCTGAATGCTTCTTGCATGCCTCATCTGTGTGCCCACTGGTTTCCTGTTTCCTTTTCTGGTGCAGCTCTTCTCTGTGGCTCAGTGATGATGATGATGATGATGATGATGATGATGTCACTCTGTCATCGTCATCACGACGCATCAGCTCGTGTTTGTCAACTTCACGGTTTTTTTTAAAGCAACGCTATGTAACTTAAACTGAGCAACAGCGCCCCCTGCAGCCACAGGTTGTGATCACATTTGTTTGGCTTCGTGTCCAAAAACGATTTAAAGATAAAATACTACTACTATAACGCTGGATATTACCCATGATCCTCTGCTGCTGCAGAGTTCATCATGTTTTAAAGTTTCCTGCTGAACCTTGGAGATAAACTCTGGTTGTTAAAAACTTCTCAGTGTTTTGAACTGATCACAGATCAGCTTCTCTCTTCAACTGTCTCGTTTTAATGACGCTGCTGTTTTAAGAGAGAAAAGTTTCATAGTGTTGCTTTACGCTGAAAACAAATTAAAGCGGAAGATGTTCATTACAAAAGAGCGGTGACAAATTCATTCAGGGTAATTAGCTGTTGTCGCTGGAGACGTTGTAGTTTCATGAAATTAAATCAGATTTTTATTGAAATGCTCATCAACCACTGTGTGTGTGTGTGTGTGTGTGTGTGTGTGTGTGTGTGTGTGTGTGTGTGTGTGTGTGTGTGTGTGTGTAACTCATCATGTCATTCACAGATAAATTCATTCATTAAACAGTAAAATATATTTCCAACGTTTTTTTGTGAAACTAACCTCGTGTGTGTAAATGTCAGCGACACAAACATCCCATAATCTCCTCTGAACTAAACTCCTCCCCTGACTCTCACCCCCTCACCCTCCCCTCCCCCCCCCCCTGCATGTCACTGCTGTGGGTGCAGCATGAAGCGAGCCAGCTCTCTGGGCGTTCTTAACGTGGCGGACAAGGCTGCGAGCGACCACTACCAAGTAAGGAGCCAGAACCCCGAGTGTCACGACCCGAGTCCAGAAGTATCTGCAGGAGTCCACGGGCTTTTAACCTTCTGGTGACGGGGCTGATTCACTGTCAGAGGAGAGGTCAAAGTTACATCTGTGAAAAAAAAAAGTTCTGATGTTTAAAACTTAGACTTAAAATTAGAACGAGCAGAATATTTTACATCTCTGTCGTCGAGAAAAGTAAAAAAACTAAAAACTAAAAAGAAGCAAAAGAAACTGAATGAAGCTTTTTACAGTTAAATTTAGTTTCATTTCAGTGAGTCATGTAAACTATATATACTATGTATATATATATATTATTTTTACAATTTGAAACCTTTTTTAAAGTTTTAAAACTTTTCATAAGTTCTTTCTTCCAAATGACAAAGATCATCTCTTACAGTTAAAACAGGAAATAAAACATTTAGCTTTGGATATTTTTATTACCTGTTAACAAATTTAAATCTTTATCTGAAGTTTATAAAAACACCCTGAATTTTGTTGATTCATATTTTCACAGTTTTATAAAATTATCTTCAAACTCTAAATTTTCTATCTTTGATTAAATTCCCCAGGAAGGTTTTAAAGAACTCCTCTCAGATACTTTTCGACCTGGTCTTTTCTCTCACGTCTTTATAAACTGTCTGTCCTCCGTCTCAACGATTTGTCTTCGTCACATTTGTCACTAATTAAATGACACTAACTTCACACTGTCGATATTTTCACTAATCAACACAGAGACTGAACGCAGATGTTGATGAGAGAAGGAGCGGCCCTGTGTCCAGATCACTTTATTAGGAACACCACATGAAGCCTGTGTAGTCGTTGGATGTTGAAACTTTCCTCCGCTTCGTGTCGACGTGACGACTCACAGATTTTTATCAGCTGCACATTCACACAGTTTCCTGTTCGACCGGATGACAAACAAGTTTTAGATCATGTGATCACTCTGTGACGTGGATCATTCTTCTGCAGGGAAGTTGTAAAGGCCGCGGTTACAGAGGGACGAACGTGGTCAGCGACCACGGACGTGTTCTGGTTGATGATTTAAAATCAGTGTTGTTACTTTAAAAACGTTCACGAGCTCAGATTTGTCACATGGCCGTCCTCAGACTGTCCATCGCTGCTGCTCCTCTGTTCAGCCTCTGTCTCAAACACTTGTTTCCAATCATCAGCCTGAATCCGAGCAGAAGAATTCTCCTCGAAGTCAGAATCCACGTGTCGGCTCTTAATCTCGTTTCCCTCTCGCTTCATTTCCTCCAGGAACGAAATAATCGTCTGAGAAAAAGTCGCGACCTGAGCGCCAGCCACACCGACCTGGCGCGTTGAAGGTGTTTCGACGAGGTTGAGGGGCGGAGCCTGAGAGGTCACCGAGGTCACGAGACTCAACTCCCTGCGCTGCGGCCAAACTTCAGCCCCTCCCCCTCCTCGCTGTAAATAGGCGTTGGCAGACGCTTCTCGTTTCCTCTCGTCAAACTTCACTCGATGTTCAGGTTTAAATCTTTTCTGCACTTTCACAAGTTTGTGGTGTTTATTTTTTTTCATCAGTGCAAATGAAGAAACGGGAGGAAAATGAAAATCCACGATTATGACCTGAGTGTTTTTCATCTGTTAATCTTTTCTGTCTATTTTATTTTCGTGCGTTTACTGTACGTGAGTCCGTTTTTAATCGCAGAGTTAATAATTTCGTTTTTTGCTCAGTGATCTGTATTTTCAATTAAAAACCCTTCAGGACACTCCTCTTTTGAACCTGCAGGGGGCGCTCACGTCTCCTCGAAGCTGTTTTTCCTAAAATCTTCCATCACGTGTCGACTGAAGATTTTGCTTCTGACGTCTGAAGTTCTATGTTTACATTTGGTTCTTTTTGTTGAATGATGTTTGATTTGTTTCTCGTCGTTTCGCTGCTTCGAAGAGTTCGTTTCTCTTTAACTTCGTAAAAATCCTCGAGATCAGAGTCGTCGCCCACGACAACTCGTCTCTGTCCCTCAGAGACAAAGAGGCGGAACCGCGGATTCACCGAACGGAGGCCGGCCGACGCCTCCTCAGGACGGAGGCTGTAGTTTCACACACTGACTGCGAAGTTAAAAATACTTTTACACGTATGTTCCAGATAAAATACTCCAGACAACACTTTACCTTCAGAGTGAAGTTGAACGAATCCAACCGAAATAATCACGGATCATTTAAACACAGTTGTTATTATGCAAAAATGATTCCTGAGTTTTTTCAGAGGAGACTTTAGTTGCAAATTTGAAATCTGTATATTTGCTTTTCACCAAAATAAAAGCGTCTGATCCTCCTGAAGCTCGTTGTAACTAAATAGATTAATAGTTTAATGAAAATTAAACGCAATAAACCAGCAAATCACTTTGACGTCATTAGAGTTATTTAAAACTGGAATTTAATGTAAAGATGAAAAAACTGTTCTACAGCAGGTGAATGAAAAACTCGTAGATTCAACACAAACCAGACGACAAACTTCAACTGTTGAATAATTTCGAACGTGTTTCCTTTAATAAAGAATAAACGTCGTGGTTGAAACAAGGATTTTAAAAGTAACTTCAGACGAAACCTGGATTTGATTTTTATCTTGTAAAAGTGATTGAAGGACGTTTTCAACCAGTGACGACGGATTTGCACTGAAAATACCAAACTGATAAAAACACAAACCAACAAGAAGTCTGTTTATTTTAACGCCAAAATAATCAAATCAGATTTGCGACTGATGCATTTTCTGAATTATAATTTGTTTTTCTCTCGAACGATAGTTTTTCGTGCAGAAGTTTGACGAGTGTGTAGTTTTTGTCAGGATTGTGCAATAACTCTGACGTGACCTTCATTTGATCAAAACTAAATCTCTTCGCTGATTCTGATCTTTAAATCTGATGACGATTAACTGACGTCTGAACCGAAGCAGAGATTTTAAATGAAGGAATCAAATCCAACACGTTAGAACTATTGTTTATCTCCCTTCTCTTCTCTGAAACATTTTCTGTCTCCAAAAATAATAAATGAATAAAACCAATATGAAGCCCTCAAAATGTAAATATACAGTCAAATCCCAGTCGATTCAATAACTTGAATATTATTAATAGTTATTTTTTTTCCTTCTGTGCCTGGAATGATTTAGTGATTTTAGAATTCAATCGGATTCTTTTTCTTCGTGAGGATGATTTTACTGACGAGTGGAGTGTGTTGACTGTTGATCAGTCTGCTCATCAACCTGCTTTTTTTTAATCTCTGTTGTCTTAATGTAGAAGTTCTGCAAAGTATCGAGGCACATAACTGAAAAACCTTTCGCGGTTCAGACGAGGCGGGTTCGAGCAACGAGCAACAGCTTGAGCAGCGACGATGAGGCAACAGTGATGAGACCAGATCTTATTCAGAGGAATAATTATTTTTTATAACGATTTAAACTTTGTTTTCAGATTTTATTTTGCAGCTTTTAGAACGATCGTGGTTGTTAAAGTTTTTTTTTTTTCTGCAGTAACATTTCTGGTTATGTGATAATTCAGTTTGTGAACAGAACTGTGTCGTCTCACATGCCGTTGCACAACTTAACGTCAAAGTTGCCTCAAACCTGTTGCAGATCCGAAGCTCATGTCGGGAAACTTACAAGCGACCGGAAGGAAAGTGAGAATCTTCAAACCAGATTTAAAACTCCAATCATTTGTAAATGGTGATTACGATGAGCTGAATGTAAAGTGATTCATTTATAAAAGCACATAAACCTTTCGTTTGACTTTGTGTGATTTTGTTTCTACGTGTTGTGGATTTTAGTTGCTCTGTATTGACTGTGGACCATGTTGTTGTGTGGAGCTTTAATGTGGACGGTCGGACGAAGTTTATCCAGAAACCGGGATGAACGATAGTTTTATATTGAAACGTAAACACAGCGCCCTCCATCTCCCCCATGGTGAACTGCAACAACAGTGATGGAACTTTAACACCGGCTACATACGTGATATTTCCTCGTGTGTATTAATTTTGCAGGTTCACACAAATAAAGGACCCGAATCTTTATTTATTACATGCGTCATTACCATGGCAACACATTGGCTGCTGCACCCTCCTCGTTTACAGCTCCACGAATCACAAGCTCCCATTTTTTATTTTTTATTTTTCTGTGACGTTAAGAGTTTTACAAAATACAAAACGTAGAATTTTTCTCTCTGTGTTCGATATGAAATAAAGCCGTCCTGTGTTTTGACTTTGTATTCCGGGTGAGACTGGTCACACGTGATGCTCCCACATGTGTAGTCACATGTAGCGTGTGCTGGTGACCTGCACACGGAAACACACACGGAGTAGAAACATAAAGTTTGAACACATCTCATCTTAATATTCTCACCTGAGTCATTTTTTGAAATCTCTGGTTGTGAGGATTTTTTGACACGAGCAGTTTGTCCCACAAATGATTGTTCATAACTGGATTTGAAGAATAAAATTTTGTCCAATTAACGACTCTGAAGTTATTTTTAATTTCATCTTTAAACTGTAGGTTTATTAATAAAGGAAGCGTCTTCTACATTACCGACCTCTCGGTTCACACTCAGTCGATCAGTCAGTTGTTTATAATTTATGAAATTTAAATGTTTTAGTAAAAAAAAAAAAATTACAAAACAGTCAGATAAATGTAGTGGAGTAAAAGTATTGAGTAGTATACAATAAAGGTACTCAAGTAATGTACAATACAGTAACTGAGTAAATGTTCACAAGTAAAAATGTTTATTTGAAGCCCTGAAAACCACATTGAAGTAAACGTGTTGCATATATCAATGTAAAAGTATATATAATATATTATATTTTATCCCATTATTAATTTATTTTACACTATACAATATTATATTATATTGTGTTGCACTATAGCGTTTGATATATAAATTATAAAGTGTATTATATTTTTTTATTTGAACATATTTCATCATATTATATTCACTTTATCATATAATATTTTACTTTATTTATTCCAAGTGTGTTTTCCTGCACCAGCTTTTATTTATTTTATTTTATTTTATTTTATTTTATTTTATTTTATTTATTTCATTTTATTTGATATTATTTTATTTCATTTTATTTATTTATTTTATTTATTCATTTATTTTCTATTGTTGTAAAAATCTAAAACTCTCCGCTCGGCCCATCGCACCACGTGACGTGATCTCTGTGCTGCGGTTGGTCGCCGCGCCCGTCGCTCAGGGAGCGGAGGGGGCGTGTCGGGGCGGCAGCGGTTCGGGGAGGAGTCTGCCGCAGAAGGAAAATGTCCGCGGTGCCTGACGGGAAGAAGCTGGTCCGCAGCCCCAGCGGCCTCCGCATGATCCCGGAGAACGGAGCCTTCAGCTGCCCGTTCTCCCTGGACGAGCCGCGCTGGGTCCCCGACAGAGAGGTGAGACAGGCGGGGGGAGATTCAGCAGAGACACCGAGGAGCCGCCGGAGCTCCGAGCAGCTAGCTTCAGTACACACCGCGTTTCCGGTTCGCTCCTTCACAATAAAACACAATGAGTCCCGACAGAGACGGCAGAAAAATTTAGTTCTTGTTTAGCTTCTCTGGCTCATAAGATGTTTTTTATTTTCGATATCAAGAAAATTACTAATTGATTTTCACGCGCTTCCACTTCCTCCCATTGTGTGAAAATGAAGCCAAAATCACCCGGGTACGGCCGCCGCCATCTTGGACCAACCGGTGTGTTGAGCTGCTGCGAGGAGGCTCCACCCACACGCTCGTCTGACCAATCACGTGTTTTAATGTCGTCAATAAACTGGTGAAGACCGAAGTTATCGGGAACATGAACAAACATCAGCATCACGAGAGCCAGCTGACGTGACAGAAACCATCTGTGAGAAAACATTAACTCTTTTAGTTTTGTCCACGTCTCATCTGTTAACATGGAGGAGGTGGGATTTATGATCTGCACTACAGTCAGCCACAAGGGGGCGATCCAGATGTTTTGGCTTCAGCTGTGATATCGACTTGAGTATTTATTCAGCTGCACACTAAGTTTTAAACAAGTTTACTTCAGTGCGACAGTTTGATGATTTTTTAATAAATATTTGGTTGATTTGAAAAACTTAAAATCTTCTTTATCCTGGAGCAAAACACTTGTGGACACATTTTTTTTTCTATTTGTCTCAATAATTTCCATGAATTTTAAAGTGCGCTATCATCATCATCATGTCCTTGGTGAGAGGACCTTTATTTTGTTGGGTGTGTAAACATCCTGTCCTCTGGGCTGTGTGTCAGTATCTTGGCCTCTGGTCTGACAGTGAAGACTCACACACACACACACACACACACACACACACACACACACACACACTAGTTAACCAGCTGGTTCACAGATGTAACTAGTTGTCAGAAGCAGTTTATCTTCGTTAACATGATGTTGTTCAGTGTGTTCGCTCACAGCTGAGCTCGCTGCTCCATGCTAACTGTCTGTGTGTGTGTGTGTGTGTGTGTGTGTGTGTGTGTGTGTCACAGTTTAATCTCAGTTACTCATTAATTCTCTGAACAACATGAATCGGATGTTCGTCATCGAAGTGAATCTGCTTCGACTCTTCAATGTGTTTTTCAGCTGTAAAATAAATTAAATCACATTAATGTTGTTTTTAAAATCACGTTTATGAACAAATGTAACTGAACTTTACATTAACCATCAAATATTCACATTGTTTCATCTGTGTTTGCACTTTTACACTTTGCTCTACAATCACACACCGAGCCTGAGTACTTGTATGTTGTGTACTTGTATGTTGTGTACTTGTATGTTGTGTACTTGTATGTTGTGTACTTGTATGTTGTGTACTTGTATGTTGTGTACCTGTATGTGGCTTTGAGTACTTATTGTGACCTTGCAGGACCGATGGTTACAGAGTCAAGCGTTTGGGACGTCTCTCTCTACGTAAATAAAGTAATTTAAAGTCCCTCCACTCAAAGGTGGGCGCCCAGAGACGTCCCCCATCCTCTCCTTGTCCGTCCCTTTTATATACGGTCCATGGTCCGTCCACGTCCTCGACTGTGACCTCATGATTGAAACAGACGGTATCAACGTACAGCGGTTGATGTGTTTTCAGCTGCTGTTGAATGTGCCTGGCTCAGCATGTTGTGTAACTTCCTGTTTTTCCTCTCTGTCCGTCCTCAGTGTCCGAGATGTATGCAGTGTGACACCAAGTTCGACTTCATCAGAAGAAAGGTCTGTTTCTGTTTCACAGCACAAGTCTCAGAGACGTCTGACTCCGCAGAATAAAAGAGACAAGTTTTACACAAGAATACAAAACTTTTATTTTGTCTTAAAACCTGAAATGGTGGTTTTATCCTCCGCTCTTCTTCTGCTCATTTATTCTGGCGTGAAAGTTCATCTCAGGCTCCGAGGTGACGTCCACAGAAAAACCATCTGGTTAAATTACAGTGATCAAGTGACGACACTGGAAAACAGACGAAAGTATAATACACTTGATTGAATGGAGCCTTTCGAGAAACCAAAGTACACATTACAATCTGTCATAAATAAAAACACAGACAGTTGAATGACACCAAGCGTTAAAATCAGATGAGCAAACACCTCGATACAAACAACACGAGAAGTTAAACAGTCCTGATCTTGACGATTGTTGAATTCATTTTCTTCCTCCTCGATTATTAAAATGCAAATGAAGTAAAATAATTTGGTCCCCGTGTTTTAGACGACGTGTAAAGAAGATAAATAAACGTCTCAGTCGTCGCCCTGATGTTTCGTCTGATGCACCAACAACACAACTCACTGTTAAATATTTCAGCTGATTGTTTTTACGCACATTATTTGCTTGACACATAAATTAACTGTAAATGTTAAACCAACACGGTGGCGTTGACTGTGTTCTTCCTGCAGCACCACTGTCGGCGCTGCGGCCGCTGCTTCTGTGACAAGTGCTGCAGTAAGAAGGTGGTGCTGCCCCGCATGTGTTTCGTGGACCCGGTGCGACAGTGCGCCGAGTGCGGCCTGGTGTCGCAGAAAGAGATGGAGTTCTTCGACAAGCAGCTCAAAGTTCTCCTGGGAGGTGAGAAGGTCAAACTGTGTATCATTATTTTTTATTCGTGCCGCAGCCTCAGGCAGAGTTTTCATTCTGTTGTGCTTCTTTTTCTTTATTCTCTCCCGTCCTGTCTTTCCTTTTCTATTTGGTAGAAAGACAGTTTCCACCGTGTTTGCTGCACATTCACACAAACTCAGTGTTTGAGGCAGGAATCTTAGTTAAAAGTGACTCATTGACAAATCATTTTGTTTTGACGTCATTTCCTGTTTAACGTTGAGTTATTAGATTTATAAAGAAAACCTCATGAACGCTGTCACGGTGACTCACATGACACAGCGCTGCACACAGGAAACAGAAACACAATAGAAATGATGTGATAATCTGTCAGAGCTCCCCCTCCCCCTCCTCCTCCTCCCCCTCCTGCTCTGATAATCTGTTGTGTTGTTGTTGAGTGTGTGTCAGTGTGTAGCTATAAATACACAACAGATCCATCAGCGGCCTGGAGCTGCAGCAGATGACGGGCTGAGTGATGTGAAGCCTGCAGCCTCGTGATTTATTGATGAGGGATTTATCAATATCTGATGAAGAGAAAGAGGAAAAGTTTATAAAATGTTTTAAACAAGAAACTGTGAAAAAGTCATAAAAAAAAAAAAAATCTGTTTTTCTCTGAATGTTCGATACTTTGGGAAGTTTAGGAAATTAATCTGATAAATCACAACTTTTGCAGAGTTGACTTCATTGGTTTCTCTCTGTTTCCAGGCGGCACTTTCCTCGTGACTCTGGGAACGTCAGAGAAGTCTGAGACGATGACGTGTCGCCTCTCCAACAACCACAGGTGAGTTTCTTCCTTAGTTTCCATCAGACGAATCAATAATCAGATAAAAACGTGAAGTGTTCTGATTCTGATAATTCCGGTCTGAAAGCAGCCTCAGAGTCAGATTTGTGTTTCTCTGATCCAAACGTCAGGTATCTGTTCCTCGACGGTGAAAGCCACTTCGAGGTGGAGTTGTCTCGGATGTCCAGCATGCAGATCCTGACGGACGGGACGAGTCCAGGAGGTGAGACTGATCCTGAATCAGAAACATACATGAAGATAATGAGTTTAGATTAAATGTCAGTGCATGTTGTTGATGGGTTTGATCAGCTGTTAGACTTTTTATTAAATATATAAAATAAACTCTGTGTAAATGAAAACTGAAGAGCTGCTCTCCTCCTGTAAATTATTGTGATTGTCTTTTTTTTCTTCTTGAAATGGATCCACTAACAAACTGATGATTTTCTTTGTGAACACTGAAACACTAACGGTTTCTCCTCCGCCGCTTTGACTCTGACGATGTGACTCTTCCTCCTCTGGACTCAGAGAATGACATTCACACTTACACCAGTCTGCTGGACAGTCACTGTGTATCTGAAGGTTAGCTGTGGTTCACCCCCCTCGTCTTTTCAGTGCATCCATTCATTCCTCCACATCTGGATTCACCTGTGTTCACATCTGTCTGCATGAAGCCGTCTGCTCCCTCTCCAAGTAAAAACGACAAAATGCCTCAAATGCTCATTTCCCAATTTTCAAAACCCCAAAATACAAAATTTATAATAAGGAAAAAATCTCTTTTCTGCATCGTGGAGATTTCCCGTCAGTAAATAAAGTGAACGTGTCGTCTTGAAGAGGAATCAAACCAAACGATGATGTTGCTTTTGAGAAGCTCTTATTCTGAAAGTTTGCATGTCTTCTTCTGTTTCCTGCCTCCTCTGTGTCTCGTCTTGTTTTCTGACATCTGCATCTGTTTGTTCGTGCATGAATTCATCTCTTCGGGGTTCGTAATTGATTTTGTTGAGGCTGAGCGTTTGTGTGAACGAGACTTTCATCAAACAACCTGCAGCTGAAAAGCTTTTCTCTGTTGTTGGTTCTTTCTTTAGAAACATTCAGTTTAATGTGACGGAAGAAAAAAACATGTCAACATTAACATACAATCGATCAGCTGTTTGTTTGTTTTTTGCATTAAAAAAAAAAATCCAATCAACAAATCGATTAATGAACTAACTTCCAGCTGTAGAATAAATGTTATTTGAAAAGGAGGCTCACAAAGTTTATTCTTAAACCTCTGTGTGTGTGTGTGTGTTTGTGTGTGTGTGTGTGTTTGTGTGTGTCTGTGTGTGTTTGTGTGCAGGAGGGACGTCACGGGCCAGTGGCATGTTGCTCCATTACAAGCCGATGGGTTCTCAGGACGCCCAGCAGCTCCGCATGGAGGCAGCGGACGACAAGAAGGTGGCCTCACTGTGGTTGGCTGCAATGCACAAGGTACAGTTAGTTAGTTAGTTAGTTAGTTAGTTAGTTAGTTAGTTAGTCAGTTAGTTAGTTAGTTAGTTGGTTAGTTGGCCCACAATGGCAATAAATAGTCTACATTTGTTTTTCTGACATGAACACAACATTAAATATAAATATATATATAAATATAATATAAATATAAACTAAAAACTGTTTGATTCTCAACAAATAAAATCAGTGACTCATCAGAACTGAAGGAAACTTAAAACCTTAAATCTTGTCACGATGTTTAATAAAAACTCGCAGGAGTTACATTTACGTCTTTAACTTCAAAAATCAACGAACATGTAATTCACCCTCGAGATAATAAATGTGAGACAGTCCAGTTAAAGCTGGATTCTAGGATGAAGGATGGAAACCTCAGTATCCCCGTCCTGCGTTAACATTTGTTTTTTGTGCGTCGTCTCCACAGGCGGCCAAACTGCTGTATGAAGCTCGGGACCAGTGACGTGCAGAGCGGCTGCAGGTCCGACCCTCCAGGCAGCACACACCCAAGTGTTTTGTCCCCGTCTCACCGGGGGTTCGGTATCTTTTGGATTTTTATTAACGCCGGTTCTGATTCTGCTTCTCCGCCTGCTCCTCGTCGGTTCTTGATTCTTATCAATGCTAATTTTTTCAAACAAAGAAATGTTTATAGAGAAAAACAAACTTTATTACCTCTTTAACCAGTACGTCATGTTTACCACACGTAGGCTGATTGTTCTTTATTTTGCATTTTGCTTTATGATTTCTGATTTTGTGCTGCCGCCTGTCTTTGCCAGGTCTCCCTTGGACTTTCCTGGTTAAATTCAAATGAAGTACATGAATCAGGGGAAGCAGCATCAACGTTGATACATAGAGGTGTAGCGGCTACAGGATTCTGTCTCACTTGTTCGTCACAGTTGGTTTTTTTCCGTCTGTGACGTTATTATTTCATTATCCATTTTTCACAACGTCAGAAAGTTGTTTCTTGACGACACAATAACTTTATACGCTGCTTTTAATTATCTCTGTGTGTGTGTGAGGGAGGATTTTATTTCCCGGTAGAAGTGATGAGACACTTTGTGGATCCCCGTGGGGACGTTTTTGGGTTGTTTTTATTTTCACGGACCTTCAGCAGAGCCCAGATCTTCCAGATTAAACGGTGTCGCTCAGAGGTTGAAGGACAGATCCACATTAAATCCCTTTAATGAGGAGAGAAGAGAAGCCAAGTGTGATTTACTTTGAAAATATTTCACTCGGCAGCTGCGGACAGAAAAAGAGCGAATCATTCACTTGTATTCACGTGGCCTGAATGATCATGTAGCTCTGTCGCTGCTGGATGTGGAGACAGGAACTCTTGAAAGAAAGGCATTCTGGGAAATCCTCTTAACGGAAGCAGAAGCAGGAAGAGGAAACTTTCAGAATAATCCCTGTGATGCAAAGAACATCACAGATTAATTCACTTTCTGTAAAAAACACAACGTCAGGCGGTGGATCTTTCCTTTAATCGTCCGACAGTTGAGACAGCTGAGTTTTAGATTTAGATAATTAAAGCGTTCAGGTGACTCGTTAACGTTTCCAGTATCTTTTCTCTCTGCTACAAGTATTTACACATTAAGCTCTAGAGGAAGCGACAGATTCTTCACTGGTTCTGGTGAAGAATAAACACAGTAAATGCTTTAAATGTAGTTTCATGTATCGGAAGTTTTGTACGAGCTATTTTGTTTAATATTCCTACTTTAACACACGTTGTGTTCGTACTTGTGTAATTTTTTAATCTGAAGTATGACGATAGTTTTGTAACACTTGTACACGCCTCTTCCTTTTCTCCTTTTCATTTTTTGTCCTCATCATCGTAAAGAGCCACAACCAGGACGTCAAATCGCCGGCGTCCATCGACCGGTCACGCGTGGTTGAGTAGGAAGGTTTGTGAGTTTGACGGGTTGTTAGTTGTGCTTCCGAGGAATATTAAAAACACGAACCTAGTGTTGGCGAGATGGTGAAAGTGTGAATTAAATTTTAGCCACAGCAAGAAGGAGATTCATTTTGTGCTGCAGCTAAAAAAAAAAAAGCCATTTTCAGAAACTGAAGAAAAAACATTTTATCTTTAACATGAAGTCAATTTGTGGATTTAATAGATTCATTCAAGATGATGCAAGATTGTAAATTAAGCTCAAGTGTTGGGACACGAAAAACTCAACTCCGTTTTTGGCTCACGAGATTTTATTGACCTCCGTTCTGTTAAACTTTATTGAAAGTGAACATGATGAAACAAACTCCATCTGCAGAGGGAGACCATTGAGTTTAATTCACAACCGTACATCTGATCTAACACCTGAGTGACAAATTATAAATGTACAGTTTAGCTTCAGTCGCTGACTCTTGGTGCTTTATTTAGCCGCGATCACTTAGCGCCACTGACGTTTTTGAAAATCCTGCCTGCACCTGTGTGTCTTCCCTTCCCGTCGCAGACCGGTTTGTCGGCCTTCGTGTCACACAGAGTGAAAACTGCTTCCTCCTCCTCCACTTTGTTACGTAAAGTTTATTTTTATATGCTGCTCACCTAAGAATTGAAGTCACGAGTTGTCGTTTGGTTCGAGGCTCCAGATCGAAGATGGAGAAGATGGTGAGGTTTCGAGTGAATAGTCGGGGTTTGATGATGTTTATCCAGTTGTGTAGGTTTGTTCAACACAGTTAACGTCTAAAGATTCTCCTCCATCGTACTTCTGTCTGTTTGTGGAGATGAGTGTGAGGGCTGCACAGTTATGAGAAGTTCTAATAATTATAAAAATAATTTGAATTTAGTTGAAACCTGAAATTGTTGCTTCTTTTTTCTTCAAAATGTCAAAAAGTTTTATAAGAAATAACATTCCTAAAGCAAAGTTGGATCATATGGGATTAACTGTGCAGCCCCTCTGTTATCTTCACAGTCTCTGTTTGCACCTGTAAAATCACCAAGTTAGTATTTGTACCCATGACTCTGTGACTGCCACCCTGTTCTCTGCCCTTTTCATCCCCCGTCTTGTTTTATTATTCTGAAAATGCTTCACTTCACCTTTCGTTGGATTATTCTGTTGAGAATAAAATGAAGTGTTTATATACGTTTGTGTGGTTTTTGTCTCATTTGGAGGAAGGAGAGAGAAACGTGTCGCACCTCCTCCCTGTCAGAGAATGAATCATCAGCTGATCCTCGTGATAATCGCTCACCAACAAACCAGTTTCACTTACAACTAACGTAAAGTAGATTTTAAAAACAGATGAACCACATGATAATAATAAGAGACTGGCAAAAGGAAATACAGTAAACAACATGGATGCAATAAAAAAAGGTCAATTAAATGAATGAATGACCATTAAGAGTATTTATATTTATCAAGCTTTTACTCTTTACATAAATAAATACATAGCTTCAACAAATGAGTG